TCAGTTCCTGGTCCATAGTACGATCTTACTTATTGTAATTCAAAATGGATGCAGTACCGGACTGGGCCCACCTGCTCACCTGTCCGTGACAGGTGGACCTAAGCTCATTAAAAAAATGTGGGCCTAAGCCTATAAAGTAAAAAGAAAAAAAAAGAGAAAGAAAAAAGAAAGAAAGGAGAGGGGGGGAGGAGAAAAGAAAGAAGGGCGGAGAGGACAGGACACAGGACAGGAGAAAGAAAAGATAGTGCTCTTAGGTCATTATGTTATCTAATTGTATCAGGAAATCAAAAATTTGCCTTCTTCTGCTTTGGTCTGAAAAGCTTGGAAAATGGGTTTGCGGTTGTCAATTTTCGGAATTTTCCTGGAGGGGGACCCCCCCCCCCCAGGACACCCCTCGGACGCTCGCGCACTGAATGGATGGGCTTATATAACAGGGGAGATAAGATAACATGTATAATACGGCGCACAGAATAGAGTCATACAAAACTGATCTTTGGACAAATAAATTCAAGAATAAGTCTTTGGGTATTGGGAGGGCGTTCGGATATTGGGAGGGTGGGTGTTTTATCTGGCGATCAGTGACTCGAGATCACGTGGGGACTTTCAGTACTAATGATTTACAGTTTTGTTCATTCCATGAAACTATATGTTTAATATATGCTTTTGAGTATTTGTCCAATTTTATTAGAATATTTCAAGTTATTAGGTCCTCCGTCCTGCACCACTGATAAAGTGGAACCACGCCGGAAAATCTCAATGAACTTTCTAGACCAACACCGGGCCCTAACAAAAGATCTCCAGGTTAGCGAGCCAACGTCATACTGAGTTACCGTGGCTTCCAAGTTCATAAGATCATCTATATAGAAATATCAGTTATATTTAAAAATTGGTACGAACAGGTGAGACAAAAGTTTTTTTATTTGCCACAGTTGCCTAAATTTCAGATGCAGCTATGGTGGGTTTCAAATGGTAGCGGTGCTCTTTAACCTTGGCACCACTTACAATACCAATAAAATCTTTTAAACATATCCTGAAATTTAGATACTGACTACTGGAAATTGTTATGGAAAGATCAGTAACCAAGGACTTAACACTCTTCGCTAAAATAATCTCTCTATTTAGACATAAAATGTGAGTAATAACATTTTGGAATCAGTCCCTGTACACACAATATGGACAGACAATTGCACTTTAATGGAGTTTTGTCAAAGAAAGAAAAAAAAAAAAAACCCAAGCCGGAAAACAATCACTAGTTTACGTCGCGGTATGTGTACAAACCAGTAATTTAGAGTCGGATTATGCTTACATGGAGTTCCTGGCTGAAAATGTCATTGAGGTCCTTCCATAAACAATGAAAATGTGACACATTCTGGTCATTGTCCGTCACGGAGGATTGTCAAGCGCACACAAATACAATTTTTATGTCAGTATGGTAGATAGATTTTTTGGCACAAACATACAATATATTATAATAAATTGTATGATTTATATGTTTTATATAAAAGATAACACAAAAGTCTGTATACGGTCCATTTTCCACAACGGTCCCAAAGTATAATGATAACCCAAGATAAGTTAAACTCTATCGTAACATATGACACATTTATTTATGGTATAAAAATTCATTTAGAACACATTTGGAGGTCCCTTTAATATTGGCTGCAGCCCACTCAGCCCCCCCCCCCCCCCTTAATCCAGCCTACTGGTTTCTCCGAAGACGGAGACAAGATGCAGGGTTTGCAAAAATGACGTCACTTCCTCTTTGACAATGAATATTTTCGGTAGGCTTGATTTAATGAATATTTTTTATAGGCATCAAGTTGATAAATGATTTATAACAATAATTTTATTCTAAAGAAAAAATATTTAAAGAACCATTCCAGACTTGTAATATCTGACGGACTTCTCGGTCATACAACCCTAGATTGGGTGAATGTCCTAGAAACAGTATAAAAGCCAAAATAATCTTTGAAAGTACAAATCAGTATTTATAATGAAATCGAATCGTGGGATTTAACTATTTATTAAACATACATTATGCAAGAGCTAAATCTGCCTATTGCAGGTCTTTCTTTAGGTCTGAAATGTTATATAAACTATTAATTAGACATAATTAACTTATCCAGGCCATAATCAACTCTCGATGGCATCGGATTTCTCCGATATTAAATAAATTAGAACAGTTCAGCCATATTTTTATTTAAGCTAAAAATGGAGGAGCGAGACTTGGTTGAAATTATTGCACACGTCTTGTCAAACCTTCAACGGCTAATATCTTCGCTCGCAATAGAGTAATTTGAATGGAATTTTCACATTATTCATTTTACATTATCTATTTTCCAACTATTATAGCAAGAATGGCTAGCTCTTTACATAAATCTTACATAATGTATCTTTAACGTTACTAACACCAATTAAAGATGTATTATCTATAAGTTGTTCTACCCGAGACTTTGTTTATTATTGTAGCGATGGTATCGAGACTATTTCGATTAAATCTTTTTCAAAGCATTCATAACTTCGCTCAGAATAAAGTACTGACCGAAATTTACAATATATTCATTTTTTTTTATCTATTTTTAAACTATTAAAGCCAGCAACCATAAACTCTTTATTTGAATTTTAGTGAATTTCCCAGTGTTTTAGACAAACTTGCTTGTTCGAGCAAAAGACTTCTTGGAGATTTTAATTTTCACCTATACTATCTTACTGATACAAACGCTGTTCGATTTAATGACTTCTTAGAGCATATTCCCTTCGTCAGCATGTTTCGGTTCCCACATGCTGGTAATATTTTGGATTTAGTTATATCTAGAGACTGTGAAAATCTTACTCAGAACATCAGTGTTCCGAATAATCTATCTTTGATCATTTTCCAGTTAATTTTAATCTGTGTATTCGAAAGTCTCCACTTCAAACTAAAACACTCACTTTCAGAAACTTCAAGAAACTCGATAACGGGTGTTTTCTTTATGAACTTCAGAATGCTTATTATTTGTCAATTTCTCAATAAGAAGGTGTCAATGAAAAAGCCAATGCTTATAATACTATAATAGTAGATGTTATTGGTCAAATTCTACCACTCAATTCCAAAACTATTAATATCCGACCTAATAATGCTTGGTTTACTGCATGATGAGTTACTTGAACTAAAAAATTCCAAAACAAAAGCTTAGAAACCATGTATAAGATCCAACTTCATGTTCATAAGGAAATCTTTAAATCTAAGAAGAATGAACTCAACTATAAAATAAAAGAGTGCAAGAAATCATGTTTCCTAATAGAATTGAAAACAGTCAAAATAAGCAACGTGAATGATTTAAAATCTCTTCTAGTTCATACACATGGTTTGTAAATGGTTTGCTGCTATTCAATAACTATTCGACGATAATTAAAATACATGTATAATCAGACTGAATGCCTTAATAGAGAAGTGAATTTGAGTCATTTCTAAAGAGTTTGTATTTCTGTTATGGCTTTTACAAAAATCAAATAACCCTTGGTTATCACTGGATGCTTTAAAAAATGCTTGACAGAGACTTAAGCATTCCAAACTTTGTATACAAACTTTGGTCAGTGTTGTCGATACCCGGCTAACTCTGGTCAGTGTTGGCTTCATAGATGATTTTTGTCTATTTGATAAGGTCAAAGGTGGTCAAAGGTCACGAGATGTAAACAGGGCTAGTGCTAATCCTAGCCCTAACCCTAACCCTAGCCCTAATGCTCACACTACCGCTAACGTACAATCTCGCCAACAATCACGTGCCTAACCTTATTTAGGCCTACATCTCAGCGACCTTGACGAAAATTGAGCTGGCCTTAACAAATAGATTTAGTCCTTCATAGATCTGGATTATGGTGGGTGTCGCGTACTATAAAGCAAATCATGCTTAATCTCTGGATCTGGGCCATCCCATACCACTGAATTCAGGTTTTTCCTGTGTGGTTCCCGTCAGTCGTGCAGGACGGAGGGCCTGGCAATGGACAACGTATATAGTCGTTCGGATGGGGCAGTAAATCGAGGCCCCGTGTAAAAATTGGCGTTTAGGCCTACGTAAAAGAACCCTAGACAATTAACATTTAAAATAAAAGTAGGCCATTGTGCCGATCATATCCGGGCACACATGCCGTCTTCATAAATTCATTTAACGCTGACAGCGTAGATCGTCAAATTCAAGTAGGCCTACTGCCCGCCATAATTGTGTACACTACGGGACCTCAGTTTTTGGTCCCATCCGAACGACTATACGTTTTCCCTGGCCAAACCCACCGTCCTGCACCATTGACAAGGGGGGCCACACCGGAAAGTCGGTTGGATTGAGTGATAGACACGCTGGCATACACACGTGTAAAAGAACCCCATGGCATCTGAGTGTCATAATGGTCCCAGATCTATAAATTGTTCCAGTGACGAACTGAAAATACTCAGGACACAATGCTTGATATAAGAAGATACTTTACACTATAATAGAAAAAAATTATATTGCATCGAAACGTCGTTAGTATTAGTAAGTTAGAGGACAGAAAATACAAAAGTATTGTTAATATAGGGCTATTCAGGACTAGAATACAACAAGACAAAACATGTGTGCGCATAAATAAAGCTGTTAATAAAAATCGGACTTAAATTTTATGATGGGAACCTCACTGTATCACCTCTAGACCCATTTTTTCACCAAGAACATAATGGATAATGATTTGAAGAGAAAAAGCAGATAGAACTAGCTGCAGTCAGCATTCGTGCGCGTGATTGTCGTATTTATAGTAACATCATAAGCTGAACAACGTCAATGATCACAGGGACTTAAATTAGATTTATGAAATACTGTACCTTTTTATATAATTATCTCATTAAATAAATACACCTGTATTAATACTTGACAATTATAATACTACTTAGGGTTGTCATTGAAATAAAATGGAATTATGATTCGTGACAGAAGGGACTACTTTGTCAAATTCGTGCGTATGTGAACAGGCTGTATATAAGCCGTGAACGCCGCCATTGTAATTTCCTTTACTGCATGGAAACAGCTCGACAGAGGGATATAACTCTGTCAGAGCAGACTGTATGAGTGATAAATTTTTTTCAGTATATTTTTGAGCCGGCAAAATTACGTCCATAAAGGAAGACATAGATTCGGGGTCTCCGGAACAGGTTTGTGTATAAATTAACTTGAATTTAGGCTTGTAACTTGTTACACATGTCACTGAATTAGTGAATGATGAGATCATATCATGTTGAGACATCACCACGAGAGAATCAGAGTATCAACATTTTTTTCTGATTTCTGTTGACATCTTCACGATGTCAAGGGATTACGACATACATATGCCTTGTTCTTCAAAATTTGTATTACACTTTCAAGGAGATACTCTGGTATGGCTCTATCTTTTGGAACCTTGAGTTGAAATAGACAGAAGAGAAATGGTTCTAAAATGTGATGATATGTCTATGTGATTTATATCCATTTAATTATATACAATTTTTGAAGAGACATATTGTAATTTCTAATCAATTATTTTCGGTGAAATACATGAATAGTTCAAACTGAACGGCAGTAGTTAGTTTATGCTTGTTAGTGCATTCTTATTATACACATTATTTAATTATTATTTTGTCGTTGTGAATTACACTTCCACATTGTTTTGTACTGTAGAATATGTTTTTATTTGTTCATTACAAAATGGAACCGCGAAACCATAGGCCTATAGGGAACACCCGAAACCATAGGGTACATGACTCGTGTACTGATTATAAAATGTTTGTGTCTTTTAAAAACATTGGACATTAGGATCCTATTCGCGGCAAGATAACAACATCAGTATTGATTGAAACTGATCAATATTGAATTCTAATTCGTATTTTTAATTCAAATATTATGGAAAATATTGAGTTTGAGACTTGGCCACTTTAATCATGACATAGGTCTTGTAATCTACATAAACTGAACGGCAGTAGTTAGTTTATGCTTGTTAGTGCATTCTTATTATACACATTATTTAATTATTATTTTGTCGTTGTGAATTACACTTCCACATTGTTTTGTACTGTAGAATATGTTTTTATTTGTTCATTACAAAATGGAACCGCGAAACCATAGGCCTATAGGGAACACCCGAAACCATAGGGTACATGACTCGTGTACTGATTATAAAATGTTTGTGTCTTTTAAAAACATTGGACATTAGGATCCTATTCGCGGCAAGATAACAACATCAGTATTGATTGAAACTGATCAATATTGAATTCTAATTCGTATTTTTAATTCAAATATTATGGAAAATATTGAGTTTGAGACTTGGCCACTTTAATCATGACATAGGTCTTGTAATCTACATAAACTTTGGATTAAATCGTACCGGACACTGGTATCGTGTTTATACTATTTTTGTTCAGAATTTTATGAGTTAGGCAAGGTAACTAATGCTTTAACCAAGTGTTCCTGTGTGTTTCACTTAGCTTAGTGATTAATGACAGCTTCTGAGATAATCAGTGCACAATCATGTCCTTGCTTCTTCAGTTCAAGATAACCGAAAATGTAGGCCTACATTTGATTTTATTAAAGATACCTGTACATTATGGGAGATTAGATAAAGAGCTGGCATTTCTCACTATAATAGTTAAAAACTAGATAATGTAAAGGGAATTTGCTGAAATTTCAGTCAGATTGATCCTCTCTGAACCGAGAATTTAGCAATTGAATTTCAGGTCTTGTCTCGATCATCATTACTAAGGTTAGGGTGACCTGTGGTCCCAAATTTTCCATACAGAAAGTTGTACACGCTTCAGTGGCTTGACCCGAAGTGATTTTTCGCTAACTACGCAGTAAAATAATACTCAGCCGTAGAGTCTGATACTATAAATAGCCATCGCACGTGCAATTCTCAATACATCTATCAACTACAGCCATAAAAAATCTATTGTTGACGATTCTGAATAGCAGTAATATTTAGCTTATTGGTTATTACAGCAGCTTTAGAAATTACGTTGCTTTTTTTTTTTAAATTGCTTTTTCATTAACTGTACCGTTAGGAGTGGCATTTTTTGGTTTAGTACAAATAATATCTCTGAAATACTTGCGTTGGGCAAGAACATGATACTAGCAGTAGTTTCTTTTTACTTTTACAAAGTTCTTAAAACAATTGTTGAGTTGCCCAACGTGCATGTTTCTAAATTCAATTTCTTGTTCCAGCTTTCTGCTATGTAGTCTTGATTATCCCGGCCTGTCAATCAAACGTAGAATGGTTGGTAGTCTGGTTAAGCGAGACTAGTTTCAAAACAAGGGCATGTAACCTATTTTTTTACTCGCATGTGCTCGGATGTTATCTCCGACACTCGTAACCATCTTTCAGTGTATTATTTATGGATGATTAGGTCGTCGTAGCTTATTAAGTACAGCATGACCGTTTATTTAGTGACTATACATGTAAATGTTTGAAACTGATTTAAGGCTTTATATATTAAGTATTGTGGTGTAATTGTCAAGATATTTGGAGATATTTATTGTGGGGCACCCTACTAAGGTCGGTACGATAAAGAACATAGTCTCGATTATCCATTGTTTGATTTCATCATCTGTGAGCTTTGAGCAACAGATCGGATTCCAATCCAGTGACTATCGCAGGCTAGCAATGACATCAAGTTATTGGTTTAGAAATATACATGTATGCACAGTTTGGAAAAAGATACACAATAACAAAATTAGGTTTCCGAAAATACCTGAAACAGAATTTCATCACATGTATTATCCTATTTTCCATAGGGTAGAGCCTTTTATGTTTGAATATGATATTGTGGTTGGGTTGATTTTAGATCATATATTAAGGTCTGTCTTTAAGTCAACAGCAGTTTTCTTAGAGTCTTCCACTCTACTAAATTCCCTTTGCAAAGGTGATTTATTGAAATAAAATTGGCCCAAGATCCGGGTCCCAAAATGACCTTGTTAGTGTCAAGTTGAAGTTAAAGCCCATATCTCTCTCTCGTTATTTGTTTAGAACAATTTGATGACATCACAACCTAATATTTTAATCATTTTCCTTGTCATTGTAACTGTAAGACACTCAAAATAGGGCCTAGATGATACATGCAATCGATCCCAATGTTCTCTCAATTATTGGTTATTAATAACCAGCAGTTCATTTATTCTTCTTATACATGTAGTTAGAACTTCCAAGAAAAAGCTGGCAAGTGTTTTGTACGACATGTTCTATAGCCTACTAGTTTAGCATTCGTTATATCAACAAGTTGTTTGAAATTTTGGTCTATCTGAATCTGATGCTACTCCCTACGTAACAATTTGACTGTACTGTTATCTAATAATTATAATAATTATGATGTGTTAATGTTTTGATTGTTTTGTTTTTTTTAGGTTGGTTACTCAGCTGTGATCTACATAGACTGTCCTGAGGGGGGCAGTAGCTCCAAACGTAAGTTCAATTTCAACGCAGAGCCGCCGTGGGACCCCAGCTAACATTAAGTGACAGCAGGTGTTTCGTCTGGTCAGGTAAGTGAAAGTTAAAAATTCTGTTGGTACACCCAATTTTTATTTTGACCTCAAGATTTCAAGATCAAGCTGCGAGAACTATCCAAGGTTTATTTTTCGTCGTAAAACAGGCCCATCCCCAAACCAAAAACAATTAAAAATTTCACAATTGTCTCATTCTGGTTTGTTTTTTTTTTGTATTAATGATTTCATTTTGTGAGATTTTCTATTCATTTATCTTTGCAAATCCTGGACAGAATCGTACCTTTTTGGACTGATATTCCTTCACTTTTAGAGATTCCACCTTCACTCACAATATTGTAATTTGCATTGGATTCAAAGTCTCCCAAGTGACGGATGGGTAGCTTGAAGATAAAGTTTGTGTTTTAAATTCTATAAGTTAATGCCTGTCGCAAATAGATCAGAGTGATTTTAATTATCGTTTCTTTCTTTCTTTTTCTTCAGATTGTTTGTATACACTTATTGGATTTCTTCCCTTGGACTTGAGATTTGTGCAATATGTATCAATCTATTATAAATGGATGCTCTTTTGAAATTATTCCTCCTAGTGATATTTGTGACAAGTTTAATAAATGTTCTAAAATAGAGAAGGAGATCGCTAACCAAGATGTTGAGGTATTAAATATTTTCTCTCATTAACTTGTCTTTACATTGAATGTTGATTTTACCATTCAAATATTCCTAGTCATTATTCAAAACATTTTTCTCGAAACTATATCTTTTAAATAAATATACTTTCCATCGGGAGTAAATAGTAAATGTTTCATGGACAAAAATAACCAATTAAAATTCCATTAGATTAGATTCAATTCATAATCACATTGATTACATTTAACATTACCAAAGTCTTGTTTCAAGTCTTAAAAATTTTTCGGATTAAAATATTTATGTGAGCATTATGATTTTCTCAAGGGAGGGTTGGATGGCCGAATGGTTAGAACACGTGCGCTGTATCAGAAGGCCTGTCATTTAGTCAACTGGCGTGGTTTCGAATCCCCGGTTGTACGTGACAAGAAGTTATTACAAGCCACTGTCCTGGAAAACATGAAGATGGCTTGTTATACACATGTTGATAATGTTGGAAAAAGTGCATAATCACTTTTCAATTGACTTCTGCCAGTGTACGCTGAAACATATCTTTTGGTCTCCATGAATTTGATTAAATATTTTGAATATTTGTTATTGCAGGTTAGAGAGGATGCCTTCTTTATTGGTGATCTGGGTGATATTATTCATAAATATGAAACATGGTGTGAGCTGCTCCCCCGGGTCGAACCTTTCTACGGTTTGTACAATTTATCTTTTGATGTATTCTTCATTGACTGCTTGAAAGTCGTGTTGGGTATCTCTTCTTGAAAATTTCCAGTGTTCTTAGAAATTGAGGGGTTTGGGTGACCTATCATAAGTTCTGTCATTGAGTCAAGTGGCATGGTTTTGATTCTCCGCTTGTACATGACAAGGAGTAGGGTCGTCTGGATTCTGCCCACTGCTAAGATCCATACGCACAAGCGAATTATTGAAATAAAAAATTGAACCATATACAGGTACATATTAGTCCCGAAATAACCTAGTTTGTGTTGGGTGGACCTTAAACACCATTTTTCTCTCTCTCTACTCGTGAATTGACTGTGTACTTGAATGTTGAAAATTACATGAGTTATGTGAACAATTCAAGAATTCTTGGTCAGATAGCCTCTTGATATAAAAATCTAATGGAAGAGATTCATCGTTTCTTATGGTTCTCAATAAAGAGACACAAACCTAATCTGCAGTAATCATTTCTTATTTCTAATTATTTCTCCTACAGCTGTAAAATGTAACACAGATGATCCTGTATTACGACTACTAGCTGAATTAGGAACATCATTTGATTGTGCTAGTAAGGTAAGTTATACGATATTCTAATCTTGTTGGGGTTTTCCTGGTTGCTCGGATTTCCTCCAACACATGCAAAAGCAAATTATTGAAATAAAAATATACCATATATTAGTCCGTAGCCTGATTAGTGGATTTTTTGCCTCGCTCATCATAAATTTTCAGTTGTGGGCCCTGTTCAACTAAGCGCTTTGATTTACACCGACCTTTTTTCAATTCTCTAAATGTTTTATTTTAATTTTTGTGTGACAAGTTTGTTTTAATATTTAAATAATTCACACAAAGATACATTCCTTCATAGAATGGCAGTGAGCCATAAGGGGGTTAATACAATAAATATATCTATACTTGCCTTATTAGTGGGCCTAATTGAAACCATAATATGTCAAGTAACACTACTTACTATGAAGGATTACATTAAGTCTAATATCTTGAATCTATTGTTTATTTTATTTTTCAGAGCGAAATAGAACAGGTTTTAAGCCTGGGTGTTTCCCCATCACGCATTATATACGCTAATCCCTGTAAGCAGAAGTCATATATTCGCCATGCTGCAAAGCAAAAAGTTAAAATGATGACCTTTGATAATGAACCAGAGTTGGACAAAATCAAACTGATTTATCCTGATGCTGAGTAAGTTTTATAACTCAAATTTTAAGGCAACAGACCTCATTTGTGAAAAGTTTAACTGAATTACTAGAATTTCTGATTTATATATTGGATTTAAGGCAACAGACCTCATTTGTGAAAAGTTTAACTGAATTACTAGAATTTCTGATTATATATAGTTTAATTCATCCAAAATTATTTGTTATCGCAAACAACGTCCAATATTCATAAAGCTTAGACTTAAAATTTACTCTGTGGTGAATTAAAACATAGTCTTTTATTACGCAGCTTTATGGATAGGGTGGTTTTATTCTAGATTCAGAATATAACCCTAGGTTGAGGTTGATCATCTGTCAAAAACATTTATAGAGGAAACAACTGTAAATGCTATGAGTCATCTGTTTGATATGGTTTTACTTTTGATTATATCAAAAGATTCTTTCTAGAGTCTCTTAAAAAGTTTGGCTTAGTATATTATATATGTATATTGTTTATTTCAGGTTAGTTCTAAGAATTTTGCCACCATCAAACTTTAAGGTTCAGTGTGACCTTGGAATTAAATTTGGCTGTCATCCTGATAAAGCGATTGATCTCTATCAGAAAGCCAAAGATCTAGGCTTAAATGTTATTGGAGTTAGGTAAGTAAATTTTTATTTGAACTTTTAACATTTCCACCCAAGGCTCTTGTACCTAGTCATTTGAACAATTAAGGATCTTATCATATACGCATTGGTGTGCAAGTTAAAATTCATATTAACAGTAAGCAGAAACACTGCTGGCTTGACAAAATTCTCTTCCTCACATTGCAGACATCATAGAAAAAAAGATTATAAGTCATATGGAATAGAAATAATAAGATAACTTGAAGATCCGAGCTATAAACGGTTTTGAGTCTTGATTAATCAGACCTAAAGGGGGGTTGGATGGCCGAATGGTTAGCACGTGCTTGCTGTACATTAAGGTCTGTCATTGAGTCAACTGGCATGGTTTCGAATCCCTGGTTGTATATGATGAGTAGGGTCGCTTGTCCAACCTCGTGGGTTTTCTCCGGTTTCCTCCCATTGCTAAAGACCCCTACCCGCAAGCGAATTATTGAAATATAATTGAACCATGTGTTAGGCCCGAAATGACCTGCTTTGTGTCGAGTGGACGTTAAACCCCATTCTCTCCCTCAATTAGACCTAAAGATAATAATATAATTGAATTCCTTTCTCAGCTTTCATGTTGGAAGTGGTGCTGAAGAGGCAGAAGCTTTTTATGCTGCAGTGAAAGAAGCGTATGGAGTCTTCCAACTGGGTGTTGAATTTGGTTTTGATATGACAATGTTGGATGTTGGCGGTGGCTTCCCAGGACAGAAAGATGCACCTATAAGTTTTGAAGAGGTTAGTCAACATTAAGTAGAAAAGAGATTTAGATCATTATTAAGAGTTTAATTTAGTTATTACATTGGGGTAGGGTGCCACACATAGTCAAAAGTTGCACTATAGGACAGGCTAATAATATGGTCATGTATTAATGTCGGGCCTTTATCACAGTTATCAAATAGCTCATCCCTTTTTCCATATTTTCCTGTTATTAGTTTGTGCTCACTTTCAAAAATCTTTAAGACTCTATAGAGACTGAAGTTGTCATTTGATTGATATGAAATTTATTTAGTGATAGGTAGAGATGTGTTCAGGTTTATTGTATATTTTTAATTACAGTAAAAGTTTGCTGTTTATTTTTTTAATATAATTTGATGAGTTATGTATGTTACTGGATTGTTATATTATTCAGCAGACCAGCAATATTAGATTCCTGTGCTGAAAAAATATTGTGCTTTGTGTGTTCAGGTTGCAGTTGTCTTAAATGATGCCCTAGATGAATACTTTCCAGCAGAGATGGGGATCCGAATCATTGCTGAACCTGGTCGCTATTTTGTAGCCTCAGCATTCACTCTGACAGCCAACATCATAGCTAAACGCATGATAAGTCGAGATAAAATCGTAGGAGGTTCGTGATACATGACTAATTTTATTTTTGAATATTGAATTTTGTGAAAAAAATCCACACATGAACAAATATGTTAATTTACATTCCTCCATAGCAATTAGAATTCAAGTTCTCAAATTTCATCTTTAGACATGACAAAAACTTTGAAAAATACCATGAGCAGTGATGGTACTGTGGTAGTTAAGCAATAAGGGTAGTGTAGTTATAAATAGAATGTCTCAGGTTCAAGTCTGGGTTTTTTTTCTACATCAGTCTGCTGGGCTTACAAGTAATGTGTTAGCAAGTTATTTGTGGCATGCACGTAAAGTTGAAGTGTAATGAAGATTGGGAACATTCACCTCCCTAACATTTCACATATGACATAGAATAAACAGTAACCATATGACTGAAGTATGGTTTACGAAACATTAAACCTTATATCATTCATTCTTATAAAATAGACATTTTTATTCCAGCTTTTACTAGCATGATATCACAACTTGTTTTATCAGTGGGCAATCACATTGGAGGGAATTCCTTAATGTTAATGATATATTATTGTTTCTATAAATTCAGTCAGTTTCTGTATTGATCCTTTCAATGGAACATTGTTAATTATTTTAATTTTTTGATATATTTATTTTATTGAAGATGGAAGTTCTGACCAGTGTGTTAGTGGTAATGATGAACCAGCGTATATGTATTATCTAAATGATGGTGTATATGGTTCCTTCAATTGCTTACTGTATGATCATGCTAAAGTTAAGCCATCATTACTTCAGGTAATAGTCTCATAATATATGCCCACATTGACGACATTTATCATCTGATCTTTTTAACATTTACAGATATTGTGTACATTTGTGAGATGAAGAAGCCTATTTGTCAATTATTTCTGATTATAGCTTTCAGACTTATGCCCTAGCACTGACTGTTTTTCTGTCTCACAAACACACAATTAGGAAATCAAATGAACGATTTGAAGCTGTTGTGATACTGTCTGAGTTTTATTCTTATAACTTTTAGAGAATAAATGCTATTAAAGTTATTTTTTCTTGTTCTTTTAGTTTCCTAATGTATATAGGTTGGTGAGTAAGGCACTGGCTGGCTAGACTAGAGGATCCCGGGTTTGAACCCCGCGTTGACTGAGAAAGCTCCTGGATTTTCTGTCACTGAGCAGAACGAATGACCTGGAAAAAAACAGCGTCTTTTCATTCGAGTGGGACAAATAACTTGCACAATACTGTGCATGTAAAAGAACCTGCAATATTTGAAATTCTAAATAAGAGTAGGTTGTGGCATCGCTGTTCCGGCAAAGTATTGTTCATAGCATACTGATCTTTAGATAAAAGCGACTGTTATTGAGTCAGATGGCATGGTTTCAATTCCTTGACATGGAATATGGTCCTGTGTCCAACCTTGTGGGTTTTCTCTTGGTCCTACCGTTTTCTCACACTGATAAAACACATATAAATAAAATTGAACTGAAATGACCAAGATTGTGTTGAGTGGACATTAAACCCCATCTCTCTCTCAGCCCTCTTTTGATGGAGCAAAAAAGTAGAATGTTAAATGATTAAATGAAATGTGGATTAAACCTTTAAGGTCCCACTGTTCTGCTCCGACTGTTAAATGATTAAATGAAATGTGGATTAAACCTTTAAGGTCCCACTGTTCTGCTCCGACTGTTAAATGGTTAAATCCATTTCATTCTGTATATTATCTAGGATAATGTGTGTGATGTGAAGTTTACATCTAGTGTATGGGGACCAACATGTGATGGTATGGATTGTATTCTAGAGGACTGTGTGTTACCAGAGATGCACGTGGGTGAATGGATCTATTTTGAAGATATGGGAGCATACACCATGTGTGCCTCCTCTTGTTTCAATGGAATGCCTAAGCCCAAATGTGTTTACTATTGTGCTGAAGATGTCTGGTAAGTATTTGGCCATATTACAAAATATTCTGTTTACTTAAAAAGATAGAAACTAAAACGAATGATGGATGATGACATGTTGCTTTCTATGGATTTATTGTGTTCATTTGTTTTGAGGGATGGCAGTTTGTCTTCGTTGGAAATTTTATTTCATGTGTACAGATAACAGATTTTGTGTTCCTTAGTGGACACAGCAAGCAAAAAAAGAATAAACAAGTCGGCTTCAGAAATAAATATTTCATTGTAGTGGAGCTTTCCTCATCACCTACCAAAATAACTCATCAGATCAATCCAATGCAATACTTTATTTAGACCTTAAGCATAGGTTAGGTCCTTTAACAACTATAAATTGATAACTTGAAAATCACATCTAGACATAGATTAATCATGTTGAGGTAGAACACCAAAATCAGACATGATTGTCCAGGAATATTTTTGATCTTATTTCCATGTGTAATGGGTAAAGCCTCCAGTGCTTCATATTCCTGAAGCAACGACTGCAAGTTTCACAACATCTGGTCGTTGCTTGTTTACTTCACAATTCCTGAACTTATAGCGCCCAATCAGAGGTTGTGACATCGTGACCTCCACAGAAACCTTGACATTGAATGAACCTTGAACTTTGCAACTCGATTATCACAGGTAGACATTTTAGCTTGAAGCGCGAGACTTGGTATTTGCAATGATCAAGGAATTTGATAGGCTCACAAGTTGGGCTTGTACCCATTTGAAATTAGTGCCACAATATGCAGGGTATTCCGTGATGGTCTTGATAAGATGTACGTAGTTAAAGCGAGATCAAGCCTTCTATTGAAGATGCCAGTGCTTGTAAAGACATTGTGTAGTCATTTGGATTGGATGGTTCACAGTCTTGAAAGAATTAAAACATTTAAAAACTTAAAAGTACTTTACTTACCTGCTTGATTATGTTAATCTGTTTGTGTTTATAGGTATAATTTGTTTCCTGTTGAAGAAGATTGTGTTTTGGAAAGAAAAGCCATCTCTCTCCGACCAATTAAAGACCATGTCCCAGAGAATATTCCCGCTATTGGCACTAATCTATTCATAGAAGCCCTGATTGTTGAAGCTTAAAATAGAGCATCCTACTATAGCAGATAGTTTTATGTATAACGCTTTTGTTTTTATTTTATCAGAATGAAGTTTCTTGCAGTAAATTATTTTTATCTTATCACTGGTAATATTTGAAATCAACTAACAATCAAAATTCTAAGACCCAATACCCATTTGTAACATCAGTGAGTGAACGTAATGTATGTGGTATATATTATATTTATATTTGAACATTTGTTTACCATGGAAACACTTAAAACCAGAAATTTCTGTACATTATGTAATTTAACATTTTTCACATACTACTACTTGTCTGAGAAATAACATTTTTTTTACTAATCACTGTCGAATGTGGAAATCTATGAAGTAAGGGTATACAAACAGTAGAAACACCTGCTGAAAATAATGACCAGATTTGATCAACTTAACTGTTAAAATAAAATTCTTTAAAAATGTCAATAGTTGTAGTTTTTATACGTCCACATATTGATGTGGATGTATATTGTCGTCGCCCCTGTCTGTCCATCCGTCCACAATTTGTTTGTGGACACTCTTCAAGTCAAAATTCTTATCTGATTTTGACGAAACTTGAAATACAGGTTTATCTCCAAAAGATCTTGGTTCCTTTTGATATTTGCATGTATTGGATCGAAACTTCATGGATTATGGCCCCTGAGTGTACGTAAAATCACGTTTTTAGCTTGTGGACACTCTAAAGATCACAATTTTCATCGATTTAGATGAAACCTGAAATGTATGTTTATCACTAACGGATCACGGTTCCTTTCGATATTCGCAACTTCTTGGATTATGGCCCCTGATTGTACGAAAAATCACGTTTTTAGCTTGTGGTCCCTCTAGAGGTCACAATTTTCATCCAATTTAGATGAAACTTGAAATGTATGTTTATTACTCAGTCGCGCATATCGGACAGCAACTTCCTGGATTATGGCCCCTGATTATACAAAAAATCACGTTTTTAGCTTTAGAGGTCCCAATTTTTATCGGATTTTAAAAAACATTTAAATATGTCACCATTACACTCTAATGACGGTTGAATTTGAATTTTGTGAAAATCAAATCGAAACTGCCTGACAAAATGGTCGCTCCTTGTATGCAAATAGTGTAAAAGTATGGAATACCAAGGTTATAGATCTCGGTTACTGTAGATATTCACGCATATCGGACCTTAACTTCCTGGATTATGGCCCCTGATTGTACGAAAAATCGCTTCTTCTTGTTTACCTTTTTCTTTGTCCATAATGTGTACGAACCTTGCATGGCAACCACTTATGTATGGTCGTGGTATTGACAATATGATCTAGATTCATCCATACTTTTTGCCAATATTTGAATGGAGTGCTGGTGGTTGGGACTTGTTTACCTCTAAGCCCAGAATACTTAACTACTTTGTCCAGTCATATCTTCAAAGAGCATCAGTTACAGTATCTATAGTAGCAAAAGCACTAGGTTTGGACACTACTCACAAATAGAATGTCTGGGTTTATATCACAGATAAGGCAGTTTTCAACTATCTTCTAGGTAACACCTGTGTAATGGACATTCTACAGGTTTCTGGCTTGATTGGACCCAAAAACAAGAAGTTCGGTGTACAATTGATGTGCAATTAAGAGATTGTTATGACACACATTTTGCATTGCATGGTGTAATATTTTTATATTTTGGGCTGGTTGGTATTGTTCATTGTTTAAAAAAAACTAAACGGGTAGGTATCTCAGTAGATCTTTAACTATTCAAAATAAAATGTAGGCCTAGTCCAATACCCAACTGACCGGAAAGTAGGTGTGTCTTGTACTAAAACACGATGCCACTTAATGTTTTTATCACAGAAGCAACGGTTGAAGCCGCTCATATCACCGCTCTCGACACCTCGGTGGCTCCCAAATATTGACGCGTTATTTAAGTAAGATTTAGATAAAGAGCTGGTCGTTCTTGATAAATAGTTCACTGACATTCTAGCGCTTGTCGGAATTTTGATATCTACTATTTTACAACAGGGTTCAGGTTATGACGACTAACCTGAAAAAGACACCTGCATTCTTGTCATCGATAGACGAAGACTGCAGACTGCGTGTAATACGATTAATCTGAGTTATACACACAGATTTGGGTAGCCTATTTAGCGATTACGTCGACAGATTACCCGCCCCCCATTAAGGGGCAGTAACGGTATAGGGAGGTTGAACTGATTAAACAAACACGTCCTTACTTCCCACAATAGAAAACAACACTAGTTTTAAAGTCTATTTGAATCAAGCCGTTTTGACAATAGCCTATCGTGTAAAAAAATATCGACTATGCGCTCTTAATTTAACAGGACTCGAATATCATATTACTTTGAAAAGTTATACAATGACGTCAATGAATAATATATTTTGGTTCATTTTTAGCCCAAATACACCAATTACCCCAACTTTTACCGCATGACAACCAATAGAATATGGCATACCACATTTATGTTTTATAAATGATTTACCTTTGCATTTAAAGGAGCTAAATCTCTAGGCTAATATTTGGGATCTAGAAATGGATACAAATGGGTCGCAACGCATATAATAATGTAATATGAATATATTATAAACTAATTTAGCCTACATTCAATCGTTTCTATTTTTACTTTAATATCTAATCATTTATGTTCTGGCAATTATTTTAGACCATCTTTTACAATGGGCTGACCATTATGTTACCAAAATGGAAATCAAAAGATTTTCCATCTTCCCAAAATCAAGTAGCTATACCAATTCAATACCGTTCTCTATTTTACTCTGAGTACACTAATTCGTCAACTAAACAAAGCCTTTAAATCGGGCCCGTAGCCAGCTCGTAAAATTTGGTGGGGCTATGGAAATTTTTGGAGGGGCTGAGGATGTGTCCGGCTAAGCCGGCCACCGCGAAGCTCCGAAGGCTCGAGCCAGGGTGGGGGGTCTGGGAGTCCTCCCCCCCTGAAAATTTGGTGCTCTCTTCTCGCATCTGAGTGCATTTCTGAGCCTCAAATTGAAGTGCCTCAGGCAGGGTTTTATGACTCAATTTTCTGAAATTTCCTTCTTCGACTCCTCCCGCCGATATCATCTTGAGGGTAGTACTAGAGAGTGTCTTTTGGTTTACGCGGAGAACTCCGGGCAATACAGCTGTAGTATCAAATTTCAAGTGAACTATATAAGGTATACTATTATTCTATTCATAGAATTACAATACAGGCTGCATAATAGGCAACTTATGTTAGACACAATGGGCACCTACATTTTAGGCGGCCGTAGGCACCCGACATCGGGTGTAGGCAAATGCAAACATTTGAACCGGCGCCTTGTAGGCGACAGGCCCGTAACTAGGGGGGGGGGGGCGCAGGGAAAGCCCCCCCCCCCCCCGCCCCCTGTAAAAACTTTCGCCCCCCCCCCCCTCCCCTGTGAAAAGATTTTCGACCATAAAAAAAAATAGATATACATTGTCCGTCAATATTACAGCACCCCCGAGAACACTTTCCGCCCCCCCCCCCCCCTCGTAGCTCTGAGCTAGTTACGGCCCTGGTAGGCGAACAAATAAACCAAGGCCTCTTTTAAATTCGTAACCCACGTTTAAAAGGGCAGGTAAAGGACGATAAATTAGGCAGCCTCTGGTATCATCAAGAGCTCGAGCTAATTTTAAACTATTTCTTCTTCCTATAGAATGAGGTGGACAAAATTATTAATCAACAATGCCCTTCATATTTAACCAACATCCTCTGCTACTACAATAGCCTACTCCATACTCTAGTATCAATAACAAAATTGTCATCAGGGGCGTAAATGTGTGTGTGTGGGGGGGGGGGGGTACAGGAAAAAAAAATAGTCGGTCGCAAAATCGGTGCAGTCGGTCGCAAAATAAGATCAGCCGCAAAATCAGTACAGTCAGTCGCAAAATAAAAGCAGTCGGTATCAAAATAAGTGCTGACTGCACACGTCACGCTACTCACGCAAAACTTTAGTATAAATAACCTTGTCAACTTAATGTGTTTCACTCTTATTCTTTTGTGAGTATGTAGGTCTAAGAACAAAATTTCCCCCAGGGAGAAAAATAGTCGGTCTCAAAATAAGTGCAGTCACTGCAGTCGGTCTCAAAATTATGCATTGCCGTCTTAATGAATTAATGAGGTAAACTAATAATGCCAGAATAGATCCCAAATACTAGTCGGTCGCAAAATCAGTGCAGTCGGTCGTAAGATATGAGCAGTCGGTATCAAAATAAATGCTCACTGCACACGTCACTCTCTCACGCAAAACTTTAGTATAAAATAACCTTGTCGACTTATCATGTTTGAAAAAAATGTTTTTCACCCCATGGCAAAAAAATAGTCGGTCTCAATTCCATTATGCCATCATTCTTCAACTCCTTCTCTGACTTTTACTATCTCATCACTATCATATTCACAGTCACAGTGAATCGCCCAGTTAGTAGTACCACTAGTGAGTGAGTCGTGGGTCAAAAGACTGTAGAATTGTTAGTTCTACTCTCACAAAACAGGCGACATTGACAGATAGTCCTCAAGATTCTGTCCCATTTCTTATCCTCTCGTTAACGAGAATTTGGATCCATTTGCCATGACATTGACTAAAATTGCCAGGCCCAGTCCCAAAAATTAAAAGCTCGGTTACACATCTCAAATTTTTTCGCGCCTGCGGCGCTCGATTCCATTATAACATCATTCTTCCACTCCTCTGTTGTCTTATACTGTCTCAGCACTATCATATTCACGGTTATACTGAACTGCCTAGTTATGTTAGTAGTACCACTGGCACTGGTGTGTGGGTCGTGGGGCGTCAGACTATACAAAAGTTCTGTCAACTCTTGCAAAACAGGCGGAATTGACAGGGGGCAGATCTCGAGCTTTTGTCTAATTGACTCACATTTCTGGCCCCCTCGTCCACAAGAATTTCTCCCAGCAATGACCTCAAATGCCAAGATATTGAGTCAATTTTTCAAAATTTTCTCAGGTTGCTCAGTGTTATAAGCACAATCATATATGACATAAACTTTATGTCAACTTAAATAAAACTGCTTTTCAGCGAGACAATGATCGGCAAACAACTATATGATTATACAATACCATCTATGTTCTACCGGGACGCTTAATGTTATAGCCAGTATTTTGTTGACATTCATTGTGGGGTGGGATTGTGGCTGAGGTGGCGCCCTAGATTTGGAACCCACTCCCACCCCTATCTAGATCCGCTACTTCACATGCGCCCTACAAAAGTCGCACCTGTGGTGCTCGGTTCCTGACTGCGTCACTTGTACTAGGGGTATGGGCATCAGTCGGTCGCATTTTCGCTAAACACCCCCCCAAACAAAATCGTTATGTACGCCCCTGATTGTCATTCTTCGGCCTAATCTATCTGTTGTTACAAATAGTATTCGATTCACTGTTGCCCATTTATGGAATTCATTACCTGACAATTTAAAATATTGTAAATCATATTCATTTCGAAGGTGATTATTTAAATTTGTAACTACGTAGAGACCGAGTATCGTCTTCTTTGTAGTACTTATATATAGCCTACATTGGGAGCGGTCAGAAGAAAAATATTATGGTCATTTTCCTTAATTAGTATGTTCTATTTACATGTACCTTAAGCATATTATTAGATGATAATTATATGATTCGTGCGTGACAACTTTATTATATTGCGACTGTAATTATTATATTCAGTTGTGATTTTGTTAATATTCTTTTGTAGATATTTCTTTTCTATATTCAAATTTTATTGTTATAAAGGGCAAAATGTAAGACAGGCCTCCTGGATAATTGTCAACCCTTTGAAAATAAAGTTATTATTATTATAATTATTATTAACCCGTGCAGTTTGAAATTTGCCTGATTGACACAGACGACACCTGGTATCGTAGCAACGCGCGTAAACAAAACAAAGCGAGAACCCGCTTTAAATTAATTCTAAATATAGGACATATAAAAGATTTAGCCTCAGTGGGCCTTGTCCAAATCAAACTCTTAGATATTAAAAAGCGCCACTCAGTCTTAATGAACAAATAAAATATGCATTTATTTACAAAATTATTAAAAATGCATCATATAAAAACAAAATCTAAATCTAGATTATTTTGGCTTCAAATGTTATATAAATTATTATCTAGATATTTATTCACATAAGTCAATAATCAACTCTCTAGATCTTCGGATGGCGCAGATGTGAACGTATAACATCTTTAAAAGACATTTCGTGAAAGCGATATATAAATAACAGACAGCTTTATCGATAACATTCACTAGGTTTAATAACTGCGACGCTGGCTCGCTAGCCTGCACATGGAGGTCTGGTGTTCGATCCCTGTATTGGCCGAGAAAGTTCATCCAGATTTTCCGGCGTGGTTTCCCCTTGTCAGTGATGCAGGACGGAGGGCCTGACAAGGACAGCTGTCTAGTCGTTCGGATGGGACGAAAAACCGAGGCCCCGTGTACAAATTGGCGTGCACGTAAAAGATCCATTGGCAGTTGGAATTCGATAGAAGAGTAGGCCGTAGCGCCGCTGCCCGGGCAAAATCCCCCCCCCCATAGCACACTGTATGGCGTATGCCCGTCTTCATTAGCCCAGTTTAGGAGCAAAACAGTAGGACGTTAAACCCCATTTCATTTCATTTCATTAACTGCGACGTTTCAATGAGGACACTCTCATCGTTATCAAGCAATGCTGTGATTGCTGTCTGCTATTTAGATGTGAACGTGTTAAAATACGATCGCGAATTAATGATAATATGTAATTCTACAATGGACACGTCTGGATTAACCAGTAACGTTGCTACGATAATAAACAATCTATGTCAAAACTTCAAACAGTGATAACGTTTCTCAGAACAAAGTAATTTGAAGAAATTTTCAATATCTATTTTGGAATTATTATAGCAAGAACGGCGTGCGCTTTATCGAGAGGGGCTGGGGCGTGGGTCGATAACAAAACTTATCTTTCAACCCTTCGTGTTTCGAGATAAGAGATTGTGCTATATAGTTCCGCGTAGCAAAGCCAAACGGAAATCACATCGGGCCTCAGTAAGCAAAATTGACAATATTTTTCATCAAAACAACGATTGATTATTAATATTAGTTATTTATAATATTTTGAGAAGCATCCCCTATAACCAATGAAGATTACACGAACTCCTTGGTAGTAATAAACAAATTTATTGGTGTAAACATTTCGGACAAGTGGTGTCCTTCTTCAGTAATATAAGCATATAATCCTACCTGAAATGGGTATAAATCATCGTATTTAAAATCGAGGCGTTAAGCCGTTACTAGGAACGCCATTTTTAAACGGGATCAGTTGTATGACGGATGTCCCATAAAAACAACGCTTCGACCTCTAGTTGGCCGGTCACCTCTGGCTTGCGGCTGTGGTTTCGATCCCAGGTGTGAGCGTATGTGGCTTGGAGATAGGGGCGCCTTCTCAACCTCGTGGGTTTACTCCGGGTACTCCGGTTTCCTCCCACAGCAAAGTGAAAGACCCCTGCGCGTGCGCTAAGATCATTAAAATGAACTTGTCTGCGATATCACCTTCGGTGGAAGCGGACGTTAAACGCTAAGAACAACAACAACAATTTAAACGCGAATATTTGACGTTAGGCGATAGTTGTGCCACTACATTGGCCTCTGTAAGTTTAGGCCTAATTAGTTATAATAGTATAAAATTATCTTATTTTTACGATACATGCATTAATAAAGAAATTGAGTCAGTTTGCCACATGGAACCAATAAAAGCACCCAATCGTAGCTAAAAACAAGCACATCAGTATATAGGCCTATCTCAACGTTTTTAGCTACGTTCTCGTAGTTAGGGCGTGACCGCGGGTGGTGGTCGGGGGGTCTGTCATTGAGTGGGGTGGTTTCGATTCCCCGCCTGACAATGAATATGGACTGATCTAGTCCAACCCCGTGGGTTTTCTCTGTTGCCCCGGTTTCCTTCCACTGCGAATTATTATTAAAATAAAAATGAACCATACTTAGGCCTATGTTAGTCCCGAAATAACCTAGTTTGTGTCAGGTGGACGTTACCCTCCCCCCCTCGCTCCTCTTTATCAAAATATCTCATAATGCATCTTTATTAAACAATGTCCTTTATGTATTTAATCAATAAAATTGTCATTCTTCGTAATGAAATTACTAATGTGTAGATGTAACATATTAGGTCTATCTAAAATATTGTAGATCTGATCATATTATTATGCATTTTCTAGACGATTATTTACATTTTTAACAAGTTATCTAGCTTATTTGTAGTGTTATTTGTACATACATTATTTGCTTTTGGCAGTGTGTATAATGCTTGTATTACTGTTAACTTATTTCCTTGCCTCTTTTATTGAAGTGATTAGTAGACTGGATAATGGAGTCTTGCTGAAGCTCTTCGATTTTAGATTTTTGAAACCAGTAATAACATCTTTGTATAATTACTAAAAATTTCAATTTCTTTTAAACAATTTCCTTTATACAAGTTTTAAATATCAAAACATAAGATATTATTATAATAGAGAAATGAACAAGTTATTATAAAACTATTTTGTATGCGGAAGGATCTAACGGTGCAAAGGTTGTAAAATATTAAAGGTCAACCGCTCTTTTCACGGCGTGTTATTCGTGGCTTTGTTAGAAGAAGGTCGGTCAGAGATGAAAATGGAAGCACCTAATGCATACAAAGAAGAATTGAAGGTTGAACTAGAACCTTTAGATCCCAATTCCAACGCTTACAGATTATTAAGCAAAGGTTTGTTATCATTTGATGAAACTTAATTCCTTGGGATTCTTATTAAATTGTTCGCTGGAGACACTATCAAATAATCAGTAGGACTAAACTAAAGACATCTACAAGAAATAAATAGGTCAAATAATGGCGGCGGCCATTTGTAAAACATGTGCTCGTTAGGGCCCGTTTGATTTTACCACGGCAAGAATTAACAATCGCCGAGAACATAACATTTTCAAAATAAATATTTGCATCGGGGTCTACAATATATAATTGACGGTTAATAATAATGAAAATGTTTTGTTTCAGAAATGGAGCGAGTGGAGAAGGGAGAACCAGAGACTAGCAGTAGCACAACTAACGCACAACTACCACCATCGTCGTCTTGGTTAGAACTTCATCATGACAAACCCCAGTCAGTGAAAATTCAAATCAGAATTCCCATCAAAGAACACCCAAAGGTAATTTGTTTATGCCAAAAGGGATTGTGCATTTTATGTGTATGGCGATATGTGACTGGTGAGAACTTGGTAAAAAAAAGACTTTTTAATTGAGTCTTTGATTTACCACTAATCTTGCAATATGGTTGATACCTTTTTCCAATGTCGATAATAGGTTTGCTTCTCAAATAAACTCTTAAGGATTTTCATTCTGGTCCTCTCGAGATGATTAGACCTAAACTTTAAAGTTTGAGAAGCAGTATGGTGATGATAATTCTAGTAAAATTTGTGTGCATACTCCATGGTACCAAAATTTTAGTTGTTCCTGTTAGGCATGAATTATTTGGATTATGTTTTAATTGCAGTTTAATTTTGTTGGTAAACTACTTGGACCAAAGGGTGTTACATTAAGAAGACTGCAAGAAGAAACTGGGACCAAAATGTCTATTTTAGGCCGAGGATCAATGAGAGACAAAGCAAAGGTAATAACTGTAGATTTAATTATCTACTTCTAGTTACATTAGACGTTTTCTGTATTTGATATTTTGATTTTTGCCGTCGCCTTGTCCGTTTTTGACTTGGAAGGAATGAAAATTTCTGGCTTATAGCAGCTTCCTAAGCTGAGTAGAATTGTATAATTGTTTGTAGCTGTTTAGAAAGGGGGACAAATGTCAGTTATCGATAGAAAAACCATTAATGTCGGAAAGTTTGATATCTAATGTCAGAAAGAAATATGGTTTCTGAGCCAACTTGAGCATCTGTTGGTCCATGGTTACTCAATTACCTGTTTAAAAACAATCTGAAAGATAGTTAAGTTATTGGAAACTGTACGATTTTTAACCTGTTCTATAAGCTTACAATCTTTTTTTCAACCACAGGAAGAAGAATGTAGAAAGGAAGGTGGAAAGTTTGCCCATTTAACTCAGGATCTTCATTTAATGGTTGAAGTGTTTGCAGAAGCCGTTGAGGGTTATGGGAGATTATCACATGCACTGACAGAGTTAAAGAAATTTATGGTTCCTGTAAGTTTCTAAATTTTTATTGAATTATGGAAAATGCATCTTGTACACCCTGAAAACAGATCTTCGCATAAATAGCAAATGTCCCACAAGTTCGCCTTCTATTAAAAATGTTAATATATTGTGCTTTAACAGAAGATAAAGATTGCCTAGTTGGTAACTGTTGTGCTAATAATACTTTTGTACAGTTACAGAATATGCCGTTGCTAATTTTACTTTGAGAACTGATTTTGTAAATTGTTTTTTTTTTTAGGATTTTAACGATGATATAAGAGCACAACAGTTTGAACAGATGGGTTACATGAATAATGGTGATAAGCCTGTAAGAGGAGGCTTCGGAGGTCGAGGAGGACCCCCACGTGGTCGAGGAGGTCCACCAGGAGCAGGGGGCCCACCTGCAGGTCCACCAAGGTAAGTTTCAGTTTTGAGAACAGTAGATGCTGCACAAAAACAACCACAGTACAATTCCAAATATTTGGTATCTTATTGGAAACCTTATTTTACGTTTTGACTTGTGTGGAAGATTTCAGTACTTTGAAAGACCTTTTGATTTCATTTCAGAGGTGGAATGGCAGGAAGAGGGGCACCAGGACCCAGAGGAGCCCCACGTGGTGGTCCACCTAGAGGTGCACCTAGGGGAGGATTACCTAGAGGAGGACTGGCTGGTCCTGGCAGAGGAAGGGCTGGTCCACCACCAGTTCAACCCCCACCCGTTTATGATGATTATGGATCTGCTGTAAGTATACTTTAAAGTTTCCTCTATACGTTGTAAATGTTTTTGAACTAAGCATGTTACATATGGATAAATTATAATATTGATGCTTGATATTTTTAGGGTTATGATGATGGATATGGACAAGCTGCAGGTGGATACAGAGATCAGTCATACGATCAGGGATATGATCAAGGGTAGGTTATTGTTTATGAATCTGTAGTCTAATTCTATTGTGAAAACAATGAGTCATTTAAGATAACTTGCAGTGATTTAAGACAGAAGGGTATTTTAGGTTCATGTAGTGTTTTGAAATCATCCAGCCTTTGGCCATATTCAGCTGTAGTGGTGTCCTACTTGATGCCTTAGGTAGATGTGTGAACATGGTATGCAGGTTTATATCTGATGCGTATGCCTAGGGTCTAGCGTTTTGCTAGCTCGAAGTGTATCCATACTAATCACTCTGCCTTAGATAGACAAGTCAGAATCATAGTGCTGATCTAGGCTTTTTAACCAATTCAGTCTCCTTTATCTGAAACATTTTTTAAATATCTAAACAAATGGCAAAATATATTTCTTTTCAAATTAACTACAAGGATTAATTTGGTTATATCTATTTCAGAGGAACTCAATATTTTGATTATGGACATGGTGCTGGAGCTGGTAGTGGAGCTGGATATGATTATGGTGAGTTGCAATGCCATTAAGGCAGTGGACACCTAGCCGAAAGATTCGGTCAAAATTAATCGGTGTCAAAACTCACCTAGTGTGTACTGTCATTCAATCGAATGGTTCGCCTGTATCAGAACATGTTTAATATATTCAACTGAATTTTCGTTCGGCCAAATTATATTCCCCGAGTATCAGCTTTGTCAAATTGTAAAATTCATTAGCCACTCGTATTGAGAAGTCATGTGATTGTTTAAAGACATGGTCGCTACCATGTTATGTGGCGTGAAAGGTGATGTCACGTGACATCAGTATTTCTGGATTGCATTGAGACATACGTCAGTGCCAGTTACAATATTCACAATTGATGCCATTTTCGATGAATAATTGTTTTAGTCGAGGCAGACATTTTGGGCTGGAATAATTTTAGAATACTTGGGCAACCATTGACTTTTTACTATTTGTTTTTAGACAAGATGGACTTAATATTACTTTTGGAAATATTTTGTTTTAGGTGGTGAAACTGGTGGTTGGGGAGGTAACCCTGTTCCTGCAAAGCCTGAACGCGGTCGAGGAGGAAAACCCAGTTATGGTCAGCGACCACACCCATACAGCCGTGGGGGATATTAGTCAATTGTTAATGGTGTTCCAGGTCTTCATCATATACAGTACATCACATTGTGTTTCGTCATCATCACTTCATGGACATTGTCTTCAGGTACAAGAACATCTTGTGCTTAGATTATATAGATGCATTTATTAGGGCATCAACATCAATTGTGCTTATGTATTACAAAATATATATTATAATATATATTATAAACATTAATTTAAAGCTTAACTGTAAGCACAAAGACATTAATCAAGATTTGTTTTTATTAAAACATTGGACATTTCATTTTTATGTTGTAATAACAAATCTTTTAATCTAAGGTCTTTCCATGAGAGAATTTTTAATTGTAAATTTAATCAAAGAATATTCCCGAAAGAGGGTAAAAACTCAGAAATAATTAATGTTGGTGATTCTTTTGAATAAATTAAAGTTAAGTGTGCTTTGAATAAATAATAGTCTGTAATATGTGTATAACTATGAAAGGAAAGAAGTTGTTTTCAGAGAATCTGCTAATAAATATGCAGTATATAAATATAGGCACTAAGTGCTGATTACTCTGACCATTTTAACTATATTAAAAGATGACTAGATATTGCATATAAAATCAGTTATGTCAACAAAATATGAAAATGTGACTTGATCTTGCATATATTAAGGTCAACAAAATATGAAATGACTAGATCTTGCATATAAACAATTATGGCAACAAAACATCAACTTAAACTGAAAACAAATGCATTTGTTTGCTTCTGGAATTTAAGAAGTGGTATATTAAAAGACAGTTTATAAATATATTTATGAATTTCTGGTGTAAACTAGTGGAATTGATAATATTTGATAAACATTTTTCACATGTTTTGAATTTCATATAAAGGCAAATCTTATATAAATTCAATAGAAAATAAGGGTTTAATTCTAATAAATATACAATGAATAGTGTACAAATATAGAAAACTATGTGAAACTTAAAATGTGTGAACATAGATATTGAAGAAATTCCAAGAAAAATAATAGATGAAAGTTGAAATGGCAATCCTTAAAGAATATTTGTGCTGCACAGGCTTAATATAATGTAAACCAGCATTAATATTGAGCAGAAATAATAGTAACAGGTAAAGTGACAATCTTTATTTGAGTATGAAGAGATAAATTAAGGTAGATATAATATTATAATAAAAGAAATAAAATATACCTGTATTTCCAATAACCAAACCCAAGATAACATTAAATCATCTAATATTTAAAAGCTAATTGTCCAGTACTGACCACTGATTATTCACATCTTAAGTAGTTAATAAGTCCTCAATTTGGTTATTGGAATTGGGTTCTTTAACATTATTAAATTTTTTATAATAATTAAAACATTTAAAAAATAATTGATTTAATATTAAAAATATCTATTTTTAATTTTGATTAATTGAATTTAAAATAATTTTCATATATTGCAGGTACCAGCTTTAGTACTAGAAACAGATGTTAATCAATGTTTTTATATTTTCAGACAAACAAGGCAGCAGAACAGATTTTATGGAAATGTGTGCAATAAATGAAAAATAAATTTTATATTTTTATACTCCCACATTGAAGTTTTTTTTCTTCCTCAAAATGATAAAGCCCTGTCGAATAGGGGTGTTCAAGATGCATGTCTTTAGTAGCCTAATTATTCAGCTTTGTCCCCAGAACTGGCACATTCATTGACCCCAGCTATCCTCTTCGCAACAGATTTGTCAATATCCCTTGTGAAAATCTGGGCATCCACACTTAATGTGTTTTATGACCCTGCATAACTGTCCGCTGAAGTTTATGGTCGCCTGAATTTTAACCCTGAGCATTAGTACAGAGCTTGAAATGGTCGTCAGAATGTTTAGACATGGCTGTCGTTAATCTATAGGGCTGGGGTATAAAACTTCTATAACCAGTCTCCACTAGATAACTTGGATGGAATATAGACATCACATAAATAATTTGAGCTAATGGAATCCAGGCATTGAATCTCCGCTTTCTTTCCTAACTGCAACATTCTCTGTAGCTGAAATAGTAAACTGGGATATCGGTATTCTGATTTGAAAAGTATAGTGACCCCATGTCTTTAAGCAATTTTATAAATTGGCTTTCGACCATGAAACGCCAATTTAACCATCAGTACCATGTGAAATTTTTGCCTGACAGAGGCGCTAATCGAATTCCAATTGTCATTGTTGTATACGAAACGTCGGTTTTCCGTCCCATCCAAACGACTAGTCGCGGTTCCTTTGCTGAACCTTCCGTCCTGCACATGAGAAGGAAACGCCGTCTGAAAATCTAGAGCAAGTCCCGGTCAACACCGAAATGGAACTAGTGATCCCCAGGGTAGCGATAACGTTCATACCAAGGCCCGGAGCAACTCGTCAGGTTCGGGGGGGGGGGGGCGTCTTTCTCTTCCCCCGGGCTCGAACATTTTGGCGCATAACTGGAGGTTACTTTGTTAAAACACAGAAACTGAGATACATGGTACTACGTTTTAGTTTTACTGATGTAATAATCAGATGTACACGATTTTGACAGGAAGTATTAAACGAGCAAACAAATGGAAAAACAAAAACTGATCATTAGACGCAGAAATATCTCAACTGTTCGCATTCTGATTAAAATACTGGGGCCTATTTCACGAGATTTTAACTAAGATAAAATCCAAATTTTTTTGTAATTTGATTGGATATTTGATTTTAGTGCTTAGCCAATCAAAATTGAAGTATCTACGGTACTAAAATTTGGATTTTATCTTAGTTAAAATTTCGAGAAACAGGGCCCAGACCTATACTTAATTCGTTTTTTTATGCTTTCGATGACCTACACTACATGAAGATCTGACAAGTTGTACTCGAAGGTCTTGTCAGGGGTCGTACGAGCGCCTTTTGAACCTATGACGTCAGACATTGATTAATCGATCAGCGTTGGCGTTTCTAGTGGTTTACCCACAGTTCGTGCATGGCACGCCAAGAAGTCGCCGTAACAGACTGTTTCATTGGCTTATCACTCAATTTAACCAAAACGCCGGTAATATAACAACTCTTCCAGATCCCCGTGTAGTAAAGACAAGTAAAGCGAAATTTTGAACTATAAAAAACGAAACGAAATAGGATCTGTGTTTTAATCAGATTGAACTATTCGTTAACTTTGTTCAACACCCCAAATCATGTCGAACTAGATTCAAACGATAGGGGGCCCGGATACGGTGACTAGAGCCTTAAGCGGAACGAGGACGGACCGGGGGACCCAAGAGGAGAATATCCGGGCAGGTGGTTACAGTTTTTAATTCACAGAATCCAATTATAATCCTACCCACGCCAGCAGGTATCCAAATCCAGAACAGTCACCGGTTTTCATCCACTTTACGATCAAGCAACAATGTATATTTTTTATAAATTTATACCGACAACACAAGGTACACTTTTATGGATATACAATTACTGAGTTTGATACTCAAGCGACGTTTCGACGAGGATACACTCGTCTTTATCAAGGAAAACTGATTTTGTTAAATGACAGAATTTCACCCTGGTTTACCTGTTCCCGTAATCTCCAATTGGAATTGACATACGGTCTGCGCAGGAGTTCTGAAGCTTTTTCAACATCTCTTTGAGTTAGTGGAATCAATGTAGCTTCTGGAATGTGAGATCTAAAAATGAAATCAAATTGGTAACAATGCCACTTCCATAACGACACAATGATTCCATTCAAATAAATTAGTTGTTGACAGGTGCGTGTATCTGTCTCTAACGGATTGCTTTGAAGGCGGAACTTTAGTAGCTGAGTAGCGCATTCATATTGGGTGGGTGGTTGGAGGCCCGGCTACCATTTCGAAGTTGAATACCTCGAATTTATAAATTAAGTTTGTGAATCCAGACTTATCTTGTTCAAAACTCCGGTAAACATGGAGATTACCACAAAGGATTGTACTCTCTTACAGTTACAGGCCTCGATCATATACAATTCCATCACAAAACCCACATCAACTGCGTTTGATGTGATGATGATGAGTTAGTTGTATTTTACGTCCGCTTCCACCGAGGTGATATCGCAGACATGTGGTTTGATGTGGTTTGACTTTACAATAAATAGGAATGTTCATACTAGGTTATGCACAACATAAAATATTGCTCCGTCGACCTATTTCATTGAAAGCTATATAAACGTATACTTCGACTGTAAAGAAACGTATATATATATACCCCGATAACTCAGAAGGTAAAATACCCAACCACTTGATTGTCGGCACAGCTAAATGTTGATTTTCACACGCCTGTGCCTGAAAGGAGACAATGGATGACAATAATAATAATACAACTTTAGTTTATTCATAGGACTGTATATATAAGTATCGTTTTAGAGTAATTATTAGACATCCCAAAACCGCCTAGTAGGTGCGCTGGGTAACAATACCTGATTCCTTTATTTGCATCACTTCCGGATTATTCCAATCTTTGTTATGTTCAGCCGTGGCGAAGATTCCTATATTAAAATGATATCTGTTTAATATGGTGGCCATGTTAAATCTCGCCCTTTTCATAACGCGACAACACGACACCACCACAATATTGACGCAATCATACGACACTTTATTCTGTCGTATCATCTTGTTATTTTTATCGTAACGTCGAGTTGTCGAGTTATTGTCCTAGTCTCTTTCTACAAGTCACAAAAATACAGCTGTACTCATTACGTTAGCATGTAGAGAACAAATAAAAAAATGCTACCTTTGATCCAAATGTATAAACAGCCATTATTTCAAACCCTGAAATTTAATAAATTGTTGAATACTGTAGTGAATAATAAATTTTCTTTTAATGTTAGCATAAGTATAGTCCCAGTGGCGTAGTGGTCTGGTGCCTTCCTAGACTAAAATCTCTTTATTTGAAGCGCACTGCCAAAGGCGGAACACAGTTACGTATTTTAAAAGAAATTTCGAAACATCCATTTCTGCAACATATTTGGTAATGATCTAATTGAATAATTATTTTAAATTGTTAGGTTTCATTTTTGAGTGAAGTCTGTATACAGCCCAGCGGACGCTTGTGGCTAGAAATGGTTCCACTACGTAACTGATGTCTTCCAACTTACTCCAGCAGTTTAGCGGATCCATTCACTTAATCTAACATGTACATTTGTTTGTGGGGGGGGGGGGGCTGTCCAACCTCGTGGGTTTTCTCCCGAACCCCCGCGGTATCCTCCTACTGCTAAAAACCCCTACGCGCAAGCGAATTATTGAAATAAAATTGAACCATGTGTTAGTCCTTATTACCTATTTTGTGCCGAGTGGACATTAAACCCCATTTCTCTCTCTCTATTAGGATGTCTTGCAAGTGGTGCCGAATGCGCAAAATACGTTTTACTGAATATTTTAAGCTGGGACATTCTCCGCATTTGGTTTTTGATTTGAATAATTAAACGAATTTATTTCTCTTGGAGACCCAATGAAAATGTGCTGTCTTCTTTAACATTCAAAATAAGTAATACAGTTACTCACCATGAGGATCACAGTCCACTAAAGAAAACACGGGTAACTGAAATTGATTCCATAATAATTTCAATAATAGCCGTGTGCCTAAATCTGGAAAGCCTTTAGCCTACAAAACATAATACAACACTTCACATATTTCAATCATTTCAAGTCTTGACAAGTGTAGAGCGGCACAAATCTTTCTGTGCCCTTTTTCAGAGAAAAAAAACCCCCAACCCCACGGTAAAGTAGACTGAAAGGTGCAACTTGTTAAATGTTAGATTAAAAGAGTTTGCAACATTATTTCATATGTCGGGTGGTGTCAGGCTGATAGGGTGACCCACCATAAATAAATATCTCCATATATCTCGACAATTTCGCCACAATATTCATATATATGCCAAGCCTCAAATCAGTTTCACACAATTATAGTCACTAAATAAACGATCATGTTGTACTTAATAAGCTATGACCATTAATCATCTATAAATAATAGACTGAAAACTGGTTCCATGTGTCGTCCATAACATCCAGACACTCTTGAGTAAAAGATAGGTTACGTGCCCTTGTTTTGAAATTAGTCTCGCTTAACCAGTCTATCGACCATTCTAGGGCTGATTGACAGGTCGGGATAATCAAGACTACTTTTTTACGAAACATAACAGAAAGCTAGAACAAGAAATTGAATTTAGAAATGAGCACGTTAGCTAGCTAAACAATTGTTTTAAGAAGCTTGTAAAAGTAAAATGAAACTACTGCTTGTATCATGTTCCTGTCTAACCCGAGTGCTTCAGAGATATTATTTGTACTAAACCAAAAGATGCCGCTCTTAACGGTACAGTTAATGATAAAGCGATTTAAAAAATGAAACGAACGTAATTTCTAAATCTGCTGTAATAACCAAGAAGCTCAATTTTACTGCTATTCAAAATCGTCAACAATAAATTTTTTACGGCTGTAATAGTTGATAGATTTGTAGAGAATTGCACGTGTCATGGCTATTTATAGTATCATACTGTCAGAAAGTTGGACTCGACACGGCGAATGTGCACGCTTCAGTGGTAGTCTCGAACTATCAGCGGTTGACTGTATTTCTGTAGGTGCATGGGTCACCCTACTGTCAGTGGCATAGCTTTCATTTCTCACTGATGGGTGAAAACACCAAATGAAATAGGGTTTAACGTCTTACTTATCTGCTCCAACCGCGATAATGAAGATGGGTATACGCCATGCGGGGTTTCAATGGCTGAATGGTTAGGACGTGCGCGCTGCGCTGTATCATGCGGTCTGTCATTGAGTCAACTGGCGGGGTTTCGATTCCCCGGTTGTACGTGACAAGGAGTAGGGTCGTCTGCCCAACCTCGTGGGTTTTCTCCGGGTCCTCCAGTTTCCTCCCACTGCTAAAGACCCACCCCTACGCGCAAGCGAATTATTGAAATAAAATTAAACCATGTGTAAGTCCCGAAATGACCTAGTTTGTGTCGAGTGGACGTTAAACCCCATTATCTCTCTCTCTCTTAATCACTAAACCACCGCGACCTAATGTTGGTGATAACTGGATTTACTTCTCACCAATGTATTTCATTTTTTTAAACTAAAGCTTTACGAATCCTAAATCAGAATATCTTTTTAGCTTTACCGTTATAAGAATACAAGGTGCATATTTTTCACAGAAGTTTTCCCCAAGCAGCTTTTGAAATGTGGCATCTTTTTCTACAATAAGAATGAATTTTGCATCGGTATATATATCTAAAGTATGTTAAGGAACTTGTAACATCAAGACGGAAAGAAAAATGCAAAGAACAAATTTTGAATTACAAAGTTCAGAATAAAATGCAACTATGATAAAATATAGGATGAAAATATAACTATACAAGGATACTGTTCATATCTTTTCTATGAGCTGGAATAGAAATACCCTGAAATTGTTAAACATACAAAGGATTACATGCCAGTCATATTTATGAATCAAATACTGTGTATCAGTACTCCAGATGTGTATCAAACATTACACAAGTTAACAGAACTACAGAAACAATGAATGAATGAAATGGGGTTTAACGCCCTAACATCTGCACCAAAAAGGCTATGAGAGAGATTTTGTCAGGACAGCAATTAATTTGATTCCAACTATAAAGGGACGTTTACACGGGACCTCGATTTTTGTCCCACCCAAGGGATAAGACGCTGTTCCTTGTGAGCCCCCCCACCCCCGCCCGCCGTGCACCACTGACAAGGGGAAGCTACGATGGGACAACCCGGGGATCGAACCCCGGCCTTCTGGTTAGTGAGCCAGCGCCTTAGACACCGAGCCACATTGATTTAAAGACATATTACGAATTGATCGCGAATTAAGATATTTTGTTTACTGTGTTGAGAAGTCAAAAAAGGATAACCATATTTCTCATTGGCTGTTAGCTTATGTGTGTTGCGACCAGAGGCGTACGGGAAAATTTTTGACTGGGGGGGGGGGGGCGGTGGTGGTTGGTGCCCAAAAATGTAGTTAGGTTCTTAGTATGTTACATAATAATAATAAATTGGCTGTTAAATTGGACACATTCAAGAACACAATGCCGCCCCCCCCCCCACCCAGCTATGGTTGCGACTAACTGTTTAGCGGCTTGAACACAATGATAATCGTTACTACTTTGAATTGGAAATGGTATTTGTTTCTTACGCCTTTTGATCCCCTACAATCAATATGGTGACCATCTTCATTATAAAATTGTAAATCGCCAGATACTAAACCCTTGGAAGTGGCAAGCTGAAATAAAAGAACGGTATAGCTAGTCCTAGAAGTCGGTTACGGTTTATTCACATTTCAAATTCTAACTTTCAATCATTGCGTTTACGGGGCCTCGATTATTCGTGTCATCCGAACGACTAGACACTGTCCCTTGCCTGTGCCTTTGTCTTGCACTACTAACAAGGGGAAACAACGCTGGAACAGACATATTATATTATATGAGGCCGACAAACACCGCCTTACCAAACTAGTGGCGAAATTATTTAATATTCATGTGTAGAAGACAGTAATAATACTCAGTCGGAAAGTTTCTCTCATAAATACTCTAGTAAATACTAACCACATTTAATTCCCATCTTGGAACATTCAATATAGCAGCTATAATGTCTACAACACCATCTAAAGTTGTTTGTTTACCAAAACTTTCAGGATCCTGGTAGTATAGATCTCTTAAAGAAAACAATACATGAGATACTAATGATGGCTATAATCTATAGTCATTGCGACAGGGTTGCAGTGGTGGCTCAGTGAGTAATGCGTTGGTCGAGATAGTTCGTTTTCCCATTTTTCCGGCGTGACTCCCCCTTGTCAGTGGTGCAAGACGGAGGTCCCGGCATAAGACAACACAGGGGCAATGTATAGTCGTTCTGATGGGACATAAAAACGACGTTCCGTGTACATATTGTCGTGCGCGAAAGAGAAGGCCGTAGAGCTGCTGTCCGGGCAAAACTTCCCTCACAGAACACGAGTGCGCCCGTCTTCATTATCCCAGTCATTCAATGCGACAGATTAACATTAAAAAATACCAGATATTGTCTGAAGTTCCAGAAACAAGTCAAAGCTCATTTATCTTATTATAAAACCAGTTGCTTTTTATTAATGCTCTTTTAAAGTGCAAATATAACACAACTTATTGAGGATACATGTATTATAAACTCTTCTGTATTTCGGTGATTTGTAGTTAGCCACCTCGATATCCTGATTTTGGAAATGTGACATATCGCTAATCTCTGATGGCCCACACATTAATTATATCATTTTTCACATTTAGTTATTATATATTCTACTAATTCGTGTGTACAGAACTTCGAGGCCGCCGTTTGAATGTGTACCTGGTTTTGCCCGATTCCTTGTGTATTCAACGGACCGGTTACGCATCAATTTGGTTTTTCGGTTTCGTATGGTACCCACTAACAACCGAGAATTGATATATCCCATCGATTTATTGTCGTTATGTAAACACTGTGGGTATTAGTTTATTGTATTAGTATAAATCGCTGAATTAGAAAAATCGATAATCACCGTTTTGTACAATATCTATTCTCTTGGAGTAGTTTGTATATGATTGAAAGCACTTTCACTATCAAACCTGGAATATATAAAACGAACAAATATACTATGACATTGATTGCGAATACTCGAACATGTTAAAAGCTCGCTTTTCAATGCATGGGGCATGGTTAAGCTTTGAAATAAATTCCGGGTATGGGCTACAGTGCAAATGGAGTTGCGGGCTAGGTGGACACATTTGCGCGCGCAGTGGCATCTCAACAACCCACATAACATATCTTTACCAGAACCATAGGCGTTGTCCGTTACAAGTGAGAAAGGGGCTTTGAAAATCTGGAGCTATAATCTTCGGAATGAAACGGAATGTGGTAAAATGTCTCGTCATGGTAATACTCCGGTCATTTTAAAGGAGCTAAATCGCTAACATTTGGGACCTAGAAATTGACACAAGTGGGTCGGAACTCATATAATACTGTAATATGAATGTATATAAACTGATATACATTCAATGGTTTCCGTTTTTACTCTAATTTCAAATCAGTTATGTTCCGCGAAATAAGCCAGCAGTCACAATCGAATGCAAATTTCTAGCGCCTGGTTATTCCAGTCTACATACGCTGTTTGGTTTGGTGCAATATGTCTAGCCTCGTTCCTGGGGCTGAACTGGGGCTGAAACGCATTATGGTACACGATTCGTGTACCAATGGTAAAATGTTTATTTTGTCTTAAATATTGGATATCAGAAGCCCATCTTTTTCCGGTAAGATCACAGCATCAATGTTGATTTAAATTGACAAATAATTTGTGTTTTCAATGTTGAAGATTTTGGATGATATTGAGTTAGAGACTTAGCTACTTTAAGATAAACATTTTTACACATGTTTCGAGGGATATAATTATTTAATTCTGTGTGTATAATTACCAAATTTTTTCAATGACTTTTCGTTGTCATAGCGAATATACGCCATTTTCTTTTTCGCTGATGGTACCAATATGCCCCCTTCTGTGTAGCTTTAAACAACAACAAAATTAGAAAATTATTCATTTTACAATAAGGTATCTATAGCAACAATTGGACAGCAAAAGTGCGATTAATATTGTGATCTATGTCGGTATTTTTATCGCCGCCTCTCCCGAAAAAAAAAAAAAAAAAAATAAATAAATAAATAAAAAAAAAAACCATACTAACAATTGCATTCTGACGATAATTTAAATGTAAAATACTATTTCCGGGTTAGTTTTTTTTCTTTTCTTTTTTTTTTTCGTGACTTTATGGTGAATTTGTGAAGTTAACCTGACTGAGTCCCAATCTTTATAGCTGACATAAGATAAGACTGGAGATACACCATTTGATAATGAATGTACTAAATCATTCACCAAAGTTTCTATTCGTTTAAGAAGATCTTGTTTCTTGGAACTGAAATTATAAAATAAGGCAGGTGTAAACATAAAAAGTGCGACAATTTGTGAACCTTCTTTTGTTACGAGATTTCGCCATCACATTACTAGATTGGTTATATTTTTTGTCAACTCAGATTTTACTAGCCAAAGTCTGGTATCTACTATCTATATAGAATATTTCTATAAAACATAATTCCAAGTGTAAGAGCTCTGTGTTTGTCTACGATATCACCCTTGGTGGAAGTGGACGTTAAACTCCAGGACCGACTAAGCTGTGCTGTGCTGGATTATAATTTCATTAATTTGATAGGGTGAATGGGAATACTGTTCAAAATGCCAGAAATTGCCAGTTGGAAGAGGGTAGGCTACTCCAGAACGATGACGATGTTATGCCAAATGCTTTCATTTGTTCAGTGGCTGTACCTAACAGTTTGTCGTATAAACAGCATAAAAGGCCCGGGTGTTCCAGACCAGGATATGGCGCGGTGCACATTAGCTGCCTACCCTTTTGTTACAAGAATTTAATTAGTAGATCTATTGTGTTAAACGCTGGGCCTATTCAGAAGCGCCACGACCAGGGAGAGTCGAGGTAGGCCTGACAGTGGCACTTTCGACTCTGTTGTATTATAAATTTCTAACCCTTCCCCGCTAAACCCATCTTTCACTCTTGTTGTCTTCAGCACAGATATTTATTTCTTGCTGTTTTATTTGATACAAAAATGTTATTATTGTGTAGATCTAGCTAAAACGCTGTCACTGCTGCAGCTCCAGAAGTGCCATGGGTAGTTTCACTCTGCTGTATTATAAATGTCTTACTCTTCCCTGCTAAACTCACCTTTCACTCTTGTCGTCTTCTGCACAAATATTTATTTCTTGCTGTTTTGATAGCCAATTTTGTCTCAAACTTCTATGCAAGAATGTTAAATGTTCATATAAAATCGGAGATGAAAACGAAAGATTCATCTTTTTCCGTCTGCTTTATTTCGAGAGTTGTCCCCCTTTGGACGCAAGTCTCTGTCATCAAAATAGAGATCTCTTAAAGACCCAATACCACTCTTGTAACTGAATAATATGTCCCAATCTTTATTCTGGTCAACAAATTGTACTATTTTACAATATTCCAATTAATTGATGATACAAATTTCATCTTAACACATCTCATTTAAAAAATTGGAAAAATTCAACTAAATGATTTGAAAAACCGACGTAAAGCTTTTCAAATGTGACTTGGATTTAAAAATAATTTTGAACCCTTTGGACAAGTAAAATAGGATTTAATGGATAATTTACACAACAGAGAGAGAGAGAAAAATGGGGTTTAACGTCCACTCGACACAAACTAGGTCATTTCGGGACGAACATATGGTTAATTTTATTTCATTAATTCACTTGCGCGTAGGGGTCTTTAGCAGTTTGAGGAAACCGGAGGACCCGGAGAAAACCCACGAGGATGGGCAGGCGACCCTACACCTTGTCACGTACAACCGGGGATTCGAAGCCACGCCAGTTGACTCAATGACAGGCCGTATGATACAGCACGCATGTGCTAACCATTCGGCCATCCAACCCCCCAATTTACACAACAGGTAGGACACTTAACACATCTAGTACTAGAATAAGGCTATTTTTTATTTTCTGGAGCTGTCAAGCCAGCAAGAGTGTTATTGTCCCTTTAAACCTATTTCGAACAAGACAGGTTCAGTATCGATTTGGGTCAGTGTTTGTTGGTGGGTAGGTTTTGCAATCTCCTTATATTTTTTTTTCTTAATACCGGTGTCTCGATTCGATTTTGTTGATTTACGGTAGAGAACTTCGCAATAAATACTGAGCTAAATTTGGTGATTGTTGATTGTGCATTTTGATAATTGATTCATTGGATATTAATTGTTTTATCTGGCTGCATCATTTTTGATGTTCTCCGCTAGCTTGCTTCACAAAACCCCACATACTGCACCCAAGAGGCCGACAAGGAAAATATGCCAAGCCCTCTAGTCTCGCATGGCATAGAAAAATGACAGAAGTATTTTGATGGGACGTTAAACACAACTATGGCCATGGGGTTTAAATTTTAGAGCTTATTCAGGGGTGGTTAGGAATGTCTCTCAAAACTTGGATCTTATTTTTCTGAATGACAAAACATCAATCAGAGGCCCACAAGCAGTGGGGAGACTACTGTGGCATCAGGTAGTCCAGAAACATATCCTGCACCAATAAAATCTCGTAGCTATGAGGCCAAGTTTATTGGGATTTTCAGGACTGGTCATTGGTGCAGGAAGGAGGGCCGGGCAAAGAACAGTGTCTAGTTGTTCTGAATTGCTTGCACATAAATTAACCCATTACAGTTAGAATTTGATATAGAGAAGGTGACTAGGCAGAAACGCTGTCTGGGCATTATTTCCCTCAAAGCACATACCAGTTGTCAAAGGCCTGTCTTCATTAGCCCAGTTGATTACAGAAAAGTAGAAGGTAATACCCCCTTTAACTGGAGTCTACAATCTGCACTGTCTAATAGGACAGTATACATTACAAAGAAACCAGAAGTCATATGTTTATAAAGATGTGTTTATTCATGATTTACAGAAATGAGCAGCTATTTGATCTGAAACCCAACTAAAAAGAAAAGCAAAGTGAACAAAATCTTCCATCTTGAATGAGCAACAAATGAATTTTATACAAATTAAAAACGTAATTAAATCTATTAGGGGATAATATATTTCTCTACTTAGACTATACCAATTAAATTGATTACAGAAAATAATCTGTAGCATGATAATAAGTATAGTGTGGTTTTGACCTCTAATTTTAAAAACTATGTTAACAAAAATAAAACGTGAATTAAAATCATGTCATAATAATATAGAGCAAGGCATTGAATATATAATTTATTATTTACTATGGTTTTTATACCAACTAACACTTTAAACAATTTTATTTCCAATATAATAACAGTTTCTTAATATAAAGCATTGTTAATTGTATTTATAGTACAAACATTCCTAATAAATCATGACGCAATAGTACAGTTAAAAACTTTAGGATTAAAATGTGAAAAGTGTCCGAATGAAATACATTTTGAAAAATATACAGTTGGTGAATTATAAGCCAGATAAAATTCTATTTATTCTATTCTAAGCAACATTATTTGAAAAAACAGGCATTTCTTCAACAATATATATGGCAGCCATATGAATATTACAAAGAAAAACATTACAATCAATTTAAATAAACAATAATAAAAATGATACATCTTTTAGAATTTTAGTGTGTATTCATCTACACAAAAACATAACTATTGCCATCTCCATATTTGATTTAGTTCTATACGACTTAAAAAGCAAGACTACAAAATGATGTGTTGATAGTCGATGCAAATTTTCTTGACTTTTCTCTAAAATGGCAAGTTAAAAAGGCGAAATTATATAAAAATTGTAGAATTGCCAAAAATACTAATATACAAAACGATTAAGCATTCTACAATTTTCTTCTAAGTTCGTGTGATAAATGCTAATGCGGAAAAAGTTTGAAACACATCGTAATTCAGTTATAAACAACAATTCATAAAAAAGTTGGTCCTCTAATCCCCAACAAAAATAATGGATTTGAAATAAATGGCGACAAACTTTCCTTTTTACACACAATGTTAAAAATAAGGCAGAATTAAGCTGCTGCCTTTTTTGTATAGATAAAATACAGATTGCTTTCAACACTCCATTTCAAATTTATATCATTACCATCTGCCAATTAATGATTCAAAGAACAGCTATGCAAATAACGAAATTATGATTTTTTTTTTTGTTAACAAAATAAGAGCTTACGATATAAGATATAAGCCAATGCTATTCATGTTGATATAATATATATATATTTACTGAAGTTCATAATACAAAGTCTAATAAACAAAGATCAATGTGCTATTGGTTTCATCGAGGACCATTAATGGTTGGTCTTCAACTCCACAACATGAACTTACATAATGCCAATATTCACATCAAACTATTACAAAATAGCTCTTACTAATATACAATTATTTGCGGTTTATTTTCATACACGATATAACAAAAGTCCCTATCTACATGGGTATATATGAGGCGAAATGATAGCGACACACTTTGCTTAGCACAATATGAAAGATTTGAGGAGGGATGGATATACAGTAGAATTCCACAGCACTTTAATTACATGCAGATCCTGAAAATATACAAGTTTATAAAGGATATTAATTATGTATAAATATGCAATAGGGTGGTAGAGTTGAACAAGATGAGAAAGTTCCAAACAGGTCCTTTAAATTGGTTTTCTATATATGGCCACATTTCATGAGTGTATATGATCATCATGTCTGTTCACATTTCATGTAAATGCACAACAGAGTGTTGGATTGTTCTTCTAGTTATTTCTCCTGTCATCAAAACTTTGTAAACACTCTGCAGATAGTTTTTGCGATTTTTATTTCAATTTGCTAGGATTGTTTTTGTTTAGTCTTAATGAGGAAACTTATTGGAATCCAGAGTTGTGCATCTATTTTTCCATTGCCCCTTGTAATTCTGTGTGCCCCTTTACTTCATCACATAGACATAGCCTGTTCCCCAATCCAAATTTAATGAATAAAAATATTGTTTTAAAAAAAAAAAAAAAAAAAAATCAATCTGTAAATAAATACCTTCTTATCTGCGTCTGTCATCATTCACTTCTTCCACTTCCCTCATACATTCAATTCTTTCTACAGACATATTTGGATCTAGTTCTGTAACAGCTCTAATAGCCTCAGCAAGTGCCTGAAATTTACATATATTATACTTTAACTATCCATCAAAACAAAGAAATTTAGTAAAGAAAGTTTCACTACCAAAAAATGGAAGCCAGAAAATTGACAGTTTTCTATTTGGATTTTACTAAAAGATTCCTCTTGTCTTATAGTGTAAGGTTTTGAGGGGGGGGGGGGGGGGGGGGGGGGGGGCACTGGTTCTGAGGAATTTAACTTTTGCATGTTATATGTATGTTGATAAAATAAGAGGTCTGGGAAATGGGGTGTAATGTCTACTTAACGTTATCCAGGCCATTTGTGGACAAATATAAAGTTTGATTTTTACTTTCAGTACTCGGCCATCCACCCCTGATCATAATTCCAAGGAGGAGACGATAAAACCCCCACACTCTATAAAAACAGTAGGGTGGAAGATTCCCTATAGCAGTGCAGGCAAGTTCGGATCTCAGTATGCATCATAATGTAATAAAAGAAAAACTCACTGAATCATGATCGAAATCATCTTCTTCACTCTGAATAACAACTTTTCTTTCAACTCGTGTCTCACTAATTCCACCCTTCTCTGTTTTATACTGAAATATCAAAGTTTTAACAATTATTCATCTGGCAAATAAAATAAGCCCCGATATTCTAAAAATAACCTAAATGTTATAATAAAATCTACAGTAATTTCAATTTTGCATTTATCTTTTTGTAAACAAACTATATTACTGAAACAGCATAGCCTTGTATATTCTCAAGAAACCTTACTACAATATCATGTCACACAAACTTACAGTGGTAGTTTCGATAGTTTGCGTTCTGGAACTGTGAGCCTGTGAACTAATTAATACATCATCGAAATCATAGTTGTTGTTAGGGTAGCCTTCTTTTTCATAAGTTACAGTACGAGTCTCGGTTTTCACTATGGGAACATTCTTAGTGGAAACTGGCGCTTCATCCAAGTCTGGGTTGTAATGATAGCTTTCCGTAGCAACTGTAGGTGGCTGAATTAATAGGATAATAAAAGGATTTGAGAGCCAATTCAGTCACGGTTCAAAAATTATTTGTGGACATCATGCACATGCAGTCCAAAATTTTCCCCCCTTATTTTACAACGAACATGCGGGCATTAAAATAAAATATAAAAACCAAATCGGTAGGTGCAAATTTTATTCTTAAATTTATTAGATCTAGAATTTGGTGTTTTCCCCAGCCACCTACAGCAAGTGAGATAAATATAAATATTGCCTAATAGCCATAATAAATGTGGAACAATATGGAAGGTTGGTTAATGTAGCATGGATGGTGTCAAAAAATGTTTCATTTCTATTAGAATAGTAGCAACTTAAAAAAAAGCTTTAAAAGGCCAGGATGCATCATACCACAACTTTAAATATGCATTTCCTTAGTCTCTAAGTTCCAACAATAGTTCTTCTGACAGATATAGCAAAACTGACATGACCCACCAAATATCTCTTATTTCACAATCTATTTTCAAAGTGGTTAGAAAAGTTGGAGCGTCACTATTGTTTTAAAACTGATTACTCAACATTACTGCTGATTTATCAGTTGGTATGCCAGAAACAGTTTTATGTGAAGAATTTTATCATTATCTCAGGAATAAGGTATTTGTAAACAGGAAGGGCAGGGTGTGTGTGTGTGAGAGACCAAGGAAGCACTAATAAACCATAAGCCCTGCATTGTTTCAGTAATATAATTTATATTTCAAACAAAGATAGGTTGCCAGGCAACGAAACATACGCCCACAGCAGCTAAATCGTCCAGGCAGTCAACAAGAGTTGTCGCATATTCTTACTTTTTTCGGTAATGAAACATTTATAATACACTAAAATCTGATTAAGAGCAACAACTCATGAAGTAATTATCAGAAAACCATTAGAATTTGTTTGGTTTTTATAAAGTTCTGCCCCATGCTAACGTTTTGTATACAAAACTTTTAATATCATGGATTTGTTCAAGTCATAAAAATTCATTGAAAATCAATATACTTGTTCGTCTCAAGATCTTAAACTCTGTGTATCAATCTGAAGTCAATCGGATGATAACTTTTGAAGTGATCAAGGGCCATAACTCTGGCAGTAATTATCAGAAATCGCTGAAAATTAATAGGCTTCTTCGTCCCAAGACCTTAAACACTGTGTATAAATTTAACGTCAATTTAAGATTTTTTGAAGTGATCAAGGGCCATAACTATGGCAGTAATTATCGGAAATCGCTGAAAATCAATAGGCTTCTTCGCCTCAAGACCTTAAACACTGTGTATAAATTTAAGGTCAATCTTTGGCTTCTAGAGCGTCCACAAGATTTTTTGAAGTGATCAAGGGCCATAACTCTGGCAGTAATTATCGGAAATCACTGAAAATCAATAGGCTTCTTCGTCTCAAGACCTTAAACACTGTGTATAAATTTAACGTCAATCGGATATTAACTTTGGCCTCTAGAGCGTCCACAAGCAATTGTGGACGCCGGACGGACGGACGGGGGCGGCGACAATATACGACCACATTTCAATGTGGGCGTATAAAAATTCAATCAAAACACATTATTAAGCTAACTAAAAAGTTACCATTTATAAATGAAGAAAAGACTATCATGGTAACATAATAAACAAAATAAAATAAAAATCCCTAAAAATAATTTTATTCAAGGCTAATAGATTAACAGTCATCAATGAAATATATACATTTAATACCACCTGGGGGAAGGGGTGCAGGCAGGATGTGAGATACACATTTTATAAACAATTCCTAATAGATCTACCAATAGAAAAACTTCTAAGAACTTTTCATTTTAAAAAGTGGTTTTCCCATCTACCCAGGTAATTTTAAATGTTTATTACTTCTTGTGAACATGATCTATAGAATTGTGTCATGTGTAAAAAAATTTCACTCATGCAGACAAAAATAAAGGCCAAAAATTCCCAAATTTAGAAGATTAATTTAATAATGTTGTATTAAAAAGGAATCAAAGCTAGCAGTTGACTTCACTCATAGCTGTTAGTAACTATGGTGCACTGTTGCCTTGCACCAATGAGAATGACTTGATAGAATACAATACCAGGCCATAAATTTCACAGGATAAGCTTATTCAGGTTACGCAAACTTAAAAAACATGCAAATGTAGGTTTGCACATTTTTAGCAGACTATTTCCATAAAATTAAAAACAAAGAAACCAAACATAAGGTTTCTAAACAGGACATCTTATGCACGAAACTCAAATTTGTTTTATGAAAATTATTGTTTCAAACCATTATCCAACAAGAAAGTTTAATAAACGATTTGCCTAACTCAGCAGTCACCTGGTCAAATTCAGCAGTATCCTATGATGAATCAAAGCAATAAGAAAATGGTAATTTCTTTAGCAATGCCAAATTTAGAATTTTAGTATGTGTTATGCAATGGACGATAAGCTATTTAAGCTATACCCTTTCTTAAAGAAAGAACGAATTACAGATACAAAAATTTCAGAGTAGGATACAATTTCAAAAAAAGGTAATCATTAGAGTTTTTCATGTCAAGTAGATCTTTCATATCAGTCATAATCCTGACCTTTCAAATGAGAACTATTATAGCAATCAATATAATAATGACTGCATATACTGATAACTGAATAAATATCTGGTGAATAAAACTTTTGATCCGTAAATACAGTAAAGAAAGAAAACTTTAATCTTAACATTATTCAAGGTATAGAACCCATACCTGTAAGTTATTGTGAAACAATTTCCAATAGCATGATCACTTCAGTAAAGGTGATTGCTTTAAGATAAACCCAGAAACGGGCTCTGATTAAAAAAAGAACACACAAAGGATGAAAGGGGTGCATGAAATTATTAGCCCGGTTCGTGCAGATGTGAAAATCTGTCGTTTGCATTCTTTGCATCCCTTTCATTGACAAACAGATTTCTTTCTCTATAGTAATGGTTGTGGGGTTAGGTCATGTCACATTTCTACCAGCTTCGAAAACAAATTTGGTGAGAACTGAATCGACATGTAATCAAGTGTTTCAGCGATGGTGAATGGCTGACAGAGTATTGTATTCCATTGGCACATGTCTTTTTCACCAGAAACTTGCATGTATAATTCATTGATTGACGTCGAGGGATTGAGAGATTTCAATTCCTGAACATTCAATCAAATATTACAGTTTTATACTTACAATGTCAGTTGAAACTCTGGAATTTCTGTCATCGGCATCTCCACCTCCTCTTCCCTTTGGTGGAACTGGGGGTGGAACTTTACGACCTACTGTACTTGTAGCGTTGGGTTGGAAGAAAGGCATTGTGCTACTGTCATTTAAATCTAAGCCAGTCTTCATGGAACCGCCAGACTTCTTTGCCTAACAAGAAAAATAAAAAAATAAAATAAAAACAATTCCTACTGAAATTTGATAGCTTATATGCATTGGAAATCTAAGTTCACATCTTACATAGAATTTAAATACTAAAATCCTGGTCACACCAACATTGTATATTTCTGTCAATCCTGAAAACAAATATGGTGTGAGCAGAAACGTATGAGATATATGGTGATGGTTGAGATAGTATCATTCAGTTGGCACAACATGGTCGTGCAAAATTCGTGTGTACATGTATACTCGATTTGATTAACAAATTTTAATGGATTGAGGGAATTCAATTATGGAATGTTCAATTGAGTACTTTACAACCATTAAAAATCGCATAAATAAAAGATAGCAAACCTCTTTTTGAAAGACCTATTTGTATTAATATTCCACTGGTCATTGTCATAAAGGCAATATACGAGTACCATACCATATTTATCTGTACAATTGTTAACAAATAATTATTGACTTACTGTGTCTGCAGGTGTGACAGGTATGAAGGACATTTTATTGTCAACAAAACTTTCATCTCCTCCTGCACTTAAACCACCTGCTCCTGCTCCTGCTCCAGCACCCACACCAGCACCCACACCATAACCAACATCAGCCTATAAAATAACAACAATTTAAACTTCATTCATATTCATATCAAGTGTCAAACAGTTTTCAAAATAAATACTGAAAATATAACCATAATATTAATACTCTGAAAAATGAATGCTACTAAATAAATCGATAAATTCTATACAAATGCCTCATTAAAAAAAAAAGAGTTATAAAAGGAAAACCTGAAAAATGCTAATTCATTTAAATGAATCTATTTTTAATGACTGTTAGTAGTACATACAATTTCAGCTCCTGGGATTCAATCAAAATATCATTTTTGATAATTTTCTCAATCTTACAGGGTGAAATTCAAATACATCCCTTTTTTTTCTCTCTTAATTAACCGGCTTCAATCAAAATTCTAATTTGATAAGAACTAGCACAAAAACCATGCTTTTAAAAACAGGTTAGACAGTTAAAAAAATTTAATATCAATATTAATCATCCTCTTATTAAATTAGTATGGATAATGGTGTATTTATGCGACATCTTGAAAATAAAATAACATTATATACCGATATATGCTTCTAACTACTATTACTACTGAGTATTCTCTTGGAAAAAGAAAAGTGCTAAGAATTGGGAACTTTAGAAATATTAATATTAGTATATCTTTGTCTTTGGGGGTAGAAATAAAGTCAGAATCAAGCATCCTTAACAGAAGTATTATTATGTAGAACTGGAAGACTGATCAGAAGAGGCCTACACAACACCTTGTAAAGAGAAATCACACCATGCTTAACCATCATGAAATCAAACCTGTAATTCCCTAACAACACTAGGCATTATTACATCGCTATCAAGAACATCTTCATCACTTGGACCATCAACAGATGTTTCAATTTCAGTTTCGATTTGATTAACATCTGTGACAGTAATGGGAATAGGACTATTTATGACAACAGATTTTGATATAGTTTCTGTTGTATCTTTGTCAGACTCAACTATATCTGAGCTAGGACGATATTCTTCATCTTCTTCCGAATTAGACTTGTGTGACGATACAGAATTGTGCCTGGATTCCTAAAACATTCATATATATAAAATGGTCAGCTATTACAATATGCAAATGTTATTATTATTGATTGAATTACTCAATCTATAAAAAAACTCAAATCAAAAATCCACAACAAACCCAACTAAAAAATCTGTATTTAAACTCAGCTAACCTAACCATGCTAACTTTCATATCAGAAAGTTAACCATGCCAATCATGAAATAATTATACAATAATCTATTGAAATTTGAAATGAATTGGTTAACTATTTATGAAATCTACACCTACTTGGCTAATGCAGAGTGTTATGAGAGAAATTTTGCCCGGACAGAGCTTTTCTAAGTATGAAGGATTCATTTATGTGCATGCCATCAATTCCGCGAGTGGACCTTGGATTTTTATCCAGTCAGCCCGATTAGACACTTTCCTTGACAGCTCCCCCCCACCCCCTCACCAATCCTTCACTACTTGTCAAGAGGAAACCAGACTGGGAAATGATGATGAAATTTCTCGGCCAACATCAGGAATGAACCCCGAACCTTCCAGTTAGCCAGTTTCATAATCACCGGGCCACCGTGGCATCACTATTTATAAAGTCTATTCTTCGATACTAATTCTAAAATTGTGTTAAGAAAAAAAAAACCTAAAAATAATTTAACTGATCTTGCATGAATAATTAGTGCATATGTCATGCATTTTGTGATAAATGACTTAAATAAAGCCCATTCACTTAGACTGACATTAATCATTATCATAAACTTCTAACAAACTAGTCTAATGTACAAATTCAGGGAATACTACTGTAAGCTGTCAACATTTCAAATTAAATCTTTTTGTGAAGGTGACAATATGCTACTACTAAGGTTTTATCTGATCATGAACATGCACTTGTCTAAAAAAAAAATAATAAAACACAAAAATATAAGTGAGGTTCTTTAAAATGGGGATCTAACTCTTTGCTATTCAGGTGAAAAAAGTTACTAAAGCTCAAGTGTGTTATGATGGTAGGTTGGGTACTATTTTGACAACAACATTATGCAGATCCAATAGACATAAAACTCGAGCATCGTGAAATAGGTTGCAGATTAAACAATGAGTTAATAATTGAACATTAAAACAAGCGGTTCTTTACACTTTCAATAAATCTGCTAAACAACCAATGTTAGTCGAACAATACACAACAGGATTTGAGAGACTAAATGTCAACACAATATATCATATAAATAACCAATATAATGAACATGCCGATAACACTTCTATATAGATACAACATTCTAACCAAGGTAGCTTTTAACCTTTTTAGGCGATCTTCCTGCACATAATCCCGCCATAATACTCGACTTAATACCCTTATCACTTTTAGGTTTCTGAAATTTTAACACAATGATCATTTATTGTATTAATACAATCAACTCAAATCTTTCATGCTGAGATAAAACTATACATTATCAGATGAACACAAGGTAGACAGTACATTTGACATTTTTTCACCATACAAAAATATTCAAGTAATATTTGACTTAAAGATGCCTGTTATGCAATTTAAATTGGTCTAGTCAGCAGGGCTAGCAAGCTATGGGTGCACAAAACTGAGCAGTTCATCATTTGAATGAAATAGAGTAACGAGAAGTGTCTTCTGCTACACATAGGAAGTGTAATATCAACATTCTGCCAATCTTGATGAAAGATGTGGTATGAGCTGCCCAAAATTATCCTGTTTCCTTCCCTGACACCTTTTAAGAGATTGAGAGTATTCAATTCCAGAATATCAAAGTATTCCCATGGTTACACAAATAATGAACTGTAAAATTTCTTTTGCGACAGACTAGAGAGATAAAGCAAGTCAAGATCAATAGCCTTTTGTGGTCAGCCATTTTTTGTAGTGGTGATAATCCTAAAAGTTAATCATATAAAAGTAACAATTTGTATTATTTCTATCTCCTCTATAAATATAATTCAGAGGTTGGGGGAGTGGGGAAAAGCACGAATAATACAAATTAGTTTGAGTTAATTTAAGTTGTTGAATTTCAACCACACATGGTTGCTACAAGTGTACTAATGATTAATATATATTGAATAATTGACACCCACCACTGGTACTATGTTAAGATTCATTTAATATAACCACAATAAGCATGAGAAAAGGAGAAAAGATTGGGTTTGTGATATATATATATATATATATATATACATATGATTAAATCATAATTTGTATAAAAACCTTGTTTGGTTGAGAAGCATTTGGATCATTTCTATCTCTTCTAACGATGTCCTAAATAACAAACCACTTATCTTACTATATATACATATGTGTATGTGTTTTTTGTTATTTAACTTATCAGAAACATTTAATTGAGCTATCTATTCAACAAATGTGTCACTTTTACCTTACAGTGCCACATGTGACAAAAGTTGAAAATACAGTAATAAGATATCCTGTAGCAACAGCAAACTCAGACATAGTTCATATTCGAGGGGTTTTTTCCCCCACTTAACTCATTTATGTCAATTTAAATAACAACGGGACTTTTAATTCACTGTCCTGTACAAATATTTACAGTTGACAATTTATCTGGAACATATTTAAATAACTACAAAATGTAACTTTGAGTTCTGAAAACTTATAATACATCATAGCTAAAAAAGATAGTGAGAAAAGATAAATATATTATTGGTTAATTTTGTTGTAGTCATTCCTCTAAAACCTGTAAACTAAGAATATATAAGAGATATGTTAACTTCTAAAAACCTAATGAAAGAATCTAATAATAATATAAATACACAAAAACAAGCTGAAACAAAGATCTAAAATATCTGATAATACATAAAAAGATATTCAAACTATAAAAGTCACAACTTCCTACTGTCCAGTATAAAAAGAACAAGAAAATTTCACCCTTGGGCCCTTTGACTATCACAGAACTGTTTATGTACCAGTGAATGTTTCACAGACATTAGTAGTTTCATGTAATATATTTAAAATAACACTAGACTTTGAACAACTATAATGGCGGTATATCAGTGATAGATTGGCAGATCTGTTTCAATTTGAAAAATTTAAATTAAATGCCCCTTATCAAGTGTGGTGAAACTTTGACAAAATCGCAAATTAAGATTCTAATACTTCTTTAAACGTGGAAGTGACACCTAGAGACCAGAATATGAATACTCATCAAAATTTACTGATTCTAATCAAAAGCCTCAGTTTCAGTTGTTACACAAACAGTTCTAGGGTAAATATGTTTTAGTTCTTTTTACACTTTACAATTATGAAGATGTACTGACGAGTGTGCTACACTAAAACTAACTATAAGTAAAATCTAGAGGTAAAAAGCAAAATTAAATGTTTATAATAATGAAGATGAATGGAGAAGTGTTCTAGATTGAAACTTATGAGTGAAATCTATTGGTTAAAAACTAATTACATGTCCTATTTATAAACCATATCCGAGGTTATGCTTTCTTGCAAATATCTGCAGGTGAATTTTTTACTAAATTATATTTTTTTTTTATGTGTTGGATCTATAATCTATAATAAAGTGCAGAAGCAGGGATACAGGTTAGGTTGTTAATTCAATTATCACCAATATGGCCATCAACATATAATATCGCTTTTTAGAGTAAAAACAATTTTGATAGGTACCTCCCAGCATTTCAAGTGGATGTTCGTTCAAAAATACTCATTTTTTTTTAATTTCAAATATATTGACACTCAACATTAACAATTCTTGGCCATCAAACAATACTGAAGGGACTTGTGTCCATTTATTTGATATAAAAAGTAGGGTACTTGAATGAGATCATCAAAGATATCCCCTCAATTCAAACCCATGCAAGCACCTCCCATCTTGCCATTAACCCAAGCAAACAAGCAAGGTCAGTTTTGATATTTCTTTGAATCATGCTTGGATTTATAAAAAGGTGAAAAACCTAGAAAACCTGTAATAATCTAGGTGTGAGTAGTTAGGTGCTGTAGAAACTAATTTATATTGTATTATTCAAAACTAACAGTAGAAAATTCTATAAAGTTCTAAAACCGAATCTACCAATATTGTCCAACCACTACCAAAGCCATTAGGATTGGAAGTTTAAAATTCAAATTAACCTGATTGTCTGGTGAGGAAGCACCACCTCGTACACCATGAGCGTCGATGTCAGATGCATCCGAATCAGATGGCAGTTTCGATTTGGAATCCTTTTTCAATTTACCAAATAACCCTCCTTTCTTTTCCTTATCGGCGTGATCCTTATCATGTTTGTCCTTATCGTGTTTATTCTTATTTTTATCTTTTCCTTTGTTCTTCTTGTTTTTATCTTTTTCAATATCATCCTCCTAACAGAAGTATTTCAATATATATTATTTCAAAGAAATAACAAATTATGAAGAATGATAACTTCACCTATTAATTTGGTCTGTTTTTTCACATTACAAATTTCTCACTCTGAAATCTTTCCATTATTATTTTAAAGCCGATGATCGTCTTGCAAACTACAATATTGTGAACGCTGAATTTCTAAAAGAATATCGGCCCAAAAAAATGGTTCCACTCTGGTCCGTATTTACAAAGATGTGATACATTTAATATTTTGAAACATTTCGTCGTTTTGGTTTTGTTCTCCTCATGAAATGATAAATAATCACTGAGTGAAAAATCAGGTAGTGTTCTAGCGACAATCATCGGCTTTAATAAGAGAAATCATGGAATTTATCCTCAGCTATCTTATCCGATCCTCACATTTATGATAATTACATTTTTGTTACAGTTAAGTAGCCATGTCTGATTTATCTTTAATTTAATAAAGACAGAGCATGTTCATGTTTGAAAATAATGTGCGTGAAGAAAAAGATTGATTGGAACTGCGAATTTTGCATGGGCTTTTTTCTAGCAAATATTTTATTATAAATAAAACCTTGTCAGAGGTTGATCCAGGTCTTCCAAAAGTCGAGAGTCTAACTTCTTCCTGTTTAAAATAAAATTCAAGTAAAATGGAATGGTTTTCAATCTTAGTGCTAAGTGCTAAATCATAAAACAAAGGAGGAAGAACATTTAAAAACAACTCCTATTAGTAGAACTAGTCTCTAAGATGTACTAAGAATTCAAATATCGATGATCAATCGATGATTTCACACAAAAGAATTGCGAAACTATTTCTATAAGCACTCACCCTTTCAAGGCCAACTGATCCTGGGTCAACTCCTTGTCTTGCACGTTCTGTAGCACTATCTCCTTCCTAAAATAATAACAATAGGTATAAGACAGCAGCTTAGCTCAAACATCAAAATATTAGAAGATAATGTCACATAGGATATCAGTCCCATAACCATGAACTGCAGCCCTTTTACAAAACGGACATGTAAGATTTAATCGGGTTTTAAGGTTACATAGTTCCAACAAAATACCATATTTAGTCCAACACACAACCCAAGTTTTTGGAAAATCCAGCTTTTGTTTCTTATAAAGGATGACCTTTATGTTTATGAAGAATCCATTTTCAATGCAAGACAACCCATCGAAAGGATAAGGTTTATTGAATATGATGTTAACCTAGTTGAGCCTTGCATGAAGCTAAAGTATTGTTCGATGTCTTACATTCTAAGCCAGTACCCAAAGTAAAATTAAAACAAAATACATACACGTTGATCTCGAATATCTTCTGACACATTTAATTCTGCTAAAGCAATCTTTTCTGATTCTTTGCCTTTACCACCCTTCTTTTTATCTTTTTCTTCCTTTTTACGACGCTTTTCTTCTTCCTTTTCTTTCTTCTTTCTTTCTTTTTCAGCTTCTTTGAATTTCTTTTCTTCTTCTTTTGTACGTTTTCCTTTAGGTGGCAAGGAGATATTACCTGCTTGAACGCCTAACGTTGCTTCATCTGGTATGTGACCCTCTCTTGTTAATGTCACATCCTACAAAATTAAAATTTGACATTGTGAATAAAACCTCAAGGGCTGTTTTTTGACGTGCACTAACAGACATAAACTTTTGTTTTCAATTCCACTCAAAGAACGACTTGTCAGCTTTGGTGTAATGATAACAAGACTCGAAAATATACTAGTTAGCATATCCAGATATTGAGTGATCGTTGATGGTTAATAGATCCACTAGAACAATCACATACATCACATCTTCATTTAAATTGCAGTATTAAATAAGTTCAGACAATATACAAAATATTACACAATGTTTTTGAGTAGAAAAATAATATATCGCAATACAATTTTCAGCTTGTGTATTCAGACCTACTTAGTAGCAATGCAAAAATATATCAGGCCTGAAAACCGAGACTAAAATATTTGCATTTGGATTTTAAAACATTAGAATTTAGAATTTATAAAGGGTATCTCAACCCGAAACGTCATATTGATTAAAAAATCTTCACTTCTACCAAGTCTGTTGTGCTACTGTTAAGCGGGGATTCTTTAAATTATTTAATTTAGAATTTATTTTGCACTTTCTGTAAAGACTAAATCGTTGTTAGTTTTTTTGTGGTTTAACTTTTAAGCTTCTAAATTTCAGATTCAACATTCAATACATATAAAATCTTGCCTACCCCTTCTCCTGGCGCTCGGTCTCTTATATCAGCACTGTCATCGAAACGCCTTTGCTTTTCTTGTAATCGCATCTCAGCACTATCTAATGCTTTACCATCTGGTGAATAACCAGGTCGACTTTTAGCATAAGCATCTTCACCATCCTTATATAATCGACCATCTTCTCCTTCTCTTAATGACTTATCCTTATCAAATGACCTGTCATTATATCTAGTTTTGCCATCTTCAGGATTATAGTCATTTAAAGAGTCTGTCATACCAGCTTTTGCGAAAGGTGTTGGTACTCCATGAAACGTATCTCTCTTATTACGGCCATCAGGATATTTATTATCATAATTATCACTATCTGAAAATGTGCGACCATCTTTATTATTCCTAGGACTACGATCGCCAGGATATTTGTTGTCATAATCCTCGCCATCCGCATAACCACCATACCCATCTCTGTTCTTCCTTGGACCAACTAAAATTATAGAAATAATATTTTGAGAGATAGAAGTTTCACATCCAATCAACACAAACTAGGTCATTTTGGGACTGTCATAGGTTTCCCTTTTAATAAATTCATTTGGCTAAATGCAGGGTGTTTAGGTGTCTGAGGATATCGAGGACCCAGAGAAATCCAACTCGGTATTCGAAGCCCCCTTCTCCGATAAAGACTAGTTTCTTTAATAGTCATTACTCTCTAGCAAGCAATGTCTCAAAAAACACAAGACTCAAGCATCTACCTACCATCATCCATACTGCGACTTCTGTCTTGGTATGTGGCTCGTCGAGGAACACGTTCAAACGCTGGTTCATTTCTATCAAGAAGTGCTGCCGTGTGTTTTGTTTGATACAATGTTCTTCCAGAGTATCGAAACTTGGAACCAAGACGAGGAAATACTGCATTATTTTTAGGTTGTTCTGGCTCTCTTAATCTGCGAAGGAAAAGAATTTCTATATTAATACATGCTCGAAAAATTGATGATTGAACCCTTGAACTAGGCCTAGATACTTTAAATAACTTAAACAGAACTGCTTGAAAGATTTTAATAAATTAACGCTTTACCGAATAAATATAATGCAATGCTTTTAATACTTACACATGAAATTCTATTCAAGAAAATATATCTATATCAATATAGTAACAGCAATATGTTGTTGTTCCCCATAAAGAAATTCATTAAATAGTAAAACCCTGAGCAGTAATTACTGACTAAGAACTTAACATCACATCCATCATTGTACATTGATGCAACTACTTAATAAGACACTTATTCAAATTAAATCCGTTGAGTATTACATTGAAAAAACAAAACTGATTATTTTAATGTTTTATTGTATAAAAGCCATAATAAAGTAGAAAATAAATAAAGAGTATAAATTATTCCATAATAAATTGGAGTATAAATTATTCCATAATAAACATAATATAAAACATTTTCCACTTAATTAACCCATCGATCTGATTAATTAAAACTTCCCAAATACCGTGTGACAATATAAACTGTGAAATTTGGGACTTTATATATCAGGGAAATGAACTTGACATTTAAATAATATTTTGTAGAAATAGTCATAGATAAGGAAAAGAGTGCAAGGTTTTAAGGCAAGAAGACCATCCCAATAGAAAATAATTTCACCATAGAAGAATAAACATTTTTAAAAATCATTAATAATTATTGATATCAATATTGTAATTATGGGACTAGAGGACAAAAAGCAAACGACCGGGAATTGTTGACAAACTAGATAGGCTTAGGCTTATTTCTTTCACGTTTCGGGTATATACACCTATTAAAAATAAAGGCAAACTTTTTGTTGATAGATATAAAATTGTTCTCTTGAAAAATTAATTTAAAATTGTTCTCTTGAAAAAAAAAAATTGTTCTCTTGAAAAATAAAGAAAAATGTTCTCTTGAAAACTAAATAAAATTGTTCTCCAGAAAAATAATAAAATTGTTAAATTAAAAGAACTAAATTAAGAAAAAGATTGTGCAGACTTTAGGCAATAGTATTGAGATAGTTCTTTTCAAAGTAGATTTTATTAAGATATAAGATTGATAGTGAAATGAAAATTAAGACAGTTTTAGAAGTATAAAGATTAGAAGTAAATGCCTGAAAAAAAATATTGGATATTTGTATAAACAGAAAAACTAACCTGAAGAAAGCATGATGTTCCACACACGTCTTCCATAATCTTTTGGCATATCGATGATTTTCTAATTTAAAACCTATTGTGCTCTCATATCTTTCAAACTGAAAAATAATTAAATGATATATACGATGTATGTGTAACTATATTAACTGGTCTTAAGTCAATGGAAGTACTAGCTAAAATACTAATTCAATTGTTGTTTTTTACTTCCAGAGGATGGAATTGGGGGAGTAATTATCCACTATGAAATTTTCAAATCTGATTCCGAGTCTAGCATGCATCTTATTCACTATTGTGAAGGTCCCACGGTCATAAATCATATCCAAGAGTTTGATGAATAAACCCCTTACTAATAGTATAATAGTTTGGGGGGAAGTGCCCCAGTTACAGTACAGGTAAAAATAGAACTTAAAGATTAAAGTAGGGTGATCTGGTATTAATTCTCAAATATGGCCCATACAAATTAATCCCCAAGAAATTACTTACAGTAAATCTTTGTAGCCAACTAGTTTTTACTGAACTCTACACTTGTTTATATCATAAATTATCAGTCAACTGCAGGACTTATTTTTCTTTACAATATCTTAACCACTCAGTCTCTGTCTCTATAAATACTTACCTCACTAGGTCTGATTTTTATATAAAAGTTGTTTCTTTTATAAGATATTTTAAGAATTTTAGGCCAGACAAATCTGTTAATCCTTAATTTATCTCTATATACTAATAAACCGCTGGCACAAACACCCAACATTATGTCAACCCCCTCGGAGTCCTGAAAATAAACATAATGATCCTATAAATACAACGGCATATTCATTTAAACTTTATTACATGCATCCCTCTTGAATATTATCTCTTGTTCACCTCTTGAATAAAATCCTGATTTTATCTCTTGAATAAAATCCTGATTTTATCTCTTGAATAAAATCCAGAGTTTATCTTCTGAATATAATCCAGAGTTTTGTAGGATAAAGTAAGCCATAAAAGATTTGTTTAATGGATTAATAACATCGCTAGTTTAACATTTCATCTACATTTGAGACTAACACATTCATTTCTGAAAGAACGATGAAAGGAACTGCAGAAGATTTCAAATTTAATAGCCCTTTAAATATTTTCACACTGAATTGTTATGTTTATTACCTTAGCTTTATGAAGATCTACACCATACATTGCTAATTTCTTAGCATTTTCTAAGAAATGTACATCAGCTTCCTCTGGTGTCTGACCCCTACAACAAAAAAATGCAACAGTTCACTACATATTACAAACTAAATCACAAATTCACTCTAATATTTTATAGCGGTTGAAATCATATACAAAATATTATACTTTTTCCCTCTCAAATAATGCTGTACTATACAATGTGAGAAAACATAGGGGAGATAATCACTTAAATACATCTAAAATGACGTAGTTCTGTCTGTTATGTTGAATCCATTTTCAGGCTATGTTTTCTTTATCAATAAATATGGTAGCAAATGTTGTTTATTTCCAAGAAGAGAATTGATTTGTTACTAGTTAAACCTATAAACTGCAAAAACTATAGACAATTTACCAAAACATGTTTTCAGTTTCTCTTTATCATGTAGAAAAGTAGGATGTTAAAGCCAATTTCATGTCTTTATTATGCATGGCAATTTAAGTGGATATCACTAGTACTAGATCTGACAAATTAGAAATTAGTAGAAACTTGTTTTATCATTACGCCAGAGAGGGCTTTCGCAAAAATACCCATACCATCCTATAAATACAAGAGTACATACTTATGTTGTCTGTGTAATTCTGCTATTTTTTCTAACATTTCCGGCGTCTGGTTAGGAGCAAAGGGCATTTCTTTAATATAATCATAACCATGTCCGTGTTCCAATGGGTCGTAGTCTCCTCTGTCTGCTTGTACACTATATGATCCTAACATAGCATGTGTGATGAAAGAACACGGTAACCTAGACAAAAGAAATTGTTTCAGCATTAACATATAAATATATACTGTCTACTAATCGGCCAATAGCTGCCAATATTAATGGGTGTGTTTTTATTCTAAAGGTTTAATCTGTCGAATAAGTCTACAATCAATTTGCATATCTATAATTATTTATCATCATTATAAGGGCTTTGACTAGTTTAAGAGAAAGAGAGAGAGAGAGAGAGAGATGGGGTTTAACATCCACTGACACAAACTAGGTCATTTCGGAACAAAACATATGGTTCAATTTTATTTCAATAATTCGCTTGCGCGTAGGGGTCTTTAGCAGTGGGAGGACCTGGAGAAAACCTATGAGGTTGGACAGGCGACCACGCCAGTTGACTCAATCACAGACCTTACATGTATGATACAGTGCGCACTCGCTAACCATTCGGCCATCCACCCTCCCTACACATTTATAAAATATGTAAAGAGTGTTTAAATTAAAAAGGAAAATCATACACACAATAATAAATAAGCTTAGTATAAACATCTCATTAAATGGAGAATAAAGTAATTTCTTTAAAATAGGCGAATTTTCAACAGGATTTAAAAAGATATACAGTATCATTGTGTAAAAAGTGGGAGCTTATTTCATAATAACAAGCCTTAAAGAAAAAGGGCATTGACCGAATGAACTTGGTCATGCTTTAGTTCACAAAGCTGTAACCCATCTAAAAAAACACCATAGTTGTCTATAAATCATAGAAAGGTTTGATTCTCACCTTCCGCTTAAAATATCTCTTCTAATTTGTAAACAGACTAAAAACCTGAAAAAACAAAGCAAAAAGTTCACAAAAATGTAGGAGCAGAGGTCATACAGGTTCCATGTACAGAATCACACATACATGAAAACCCAAAGGTCTTCCAAAAATCGCTTAGTAACTTTATACTGACTTTGGAACTCTGTTAATTTCAAACTAGAAACAGATTGATGTTTAATGTCTGCTTAACAAAATACTTCAGTCATTGGTAGTTTTTCCTTTTTCTATGGTTACATGAGATACTTTGCCCTGGTTGCAATATTTCCACTTAGGCCTGCCTTCCATGTACGCATTTACACCATGTGTACAGAAAAATCGCTGAAAAGTTTGAGAAATTACACGTAAATGATGTCTTAAGTGAGGATTTCACTTTACAGCAGGGAGTCCGACACTTGTTTACATTCAGTTGCGGCCTTTTTTATTAATAACACCATACCAAAAAAATCTGCCATCTGCAAGCTGAATTTGCAGTAACAAGGTCAGTTGATCGACTAAGTGGAAGAGAACCAGTGTTTGTATGATGCAAAAACAAAGAACACAACATTAAACTTGTTATTCAAAATGCAAGTTTGTGGGTCATTGCCAGAACGTAAATATTCTGCTTAGGGAAGCATGAGCACACTTCACACATGAAAAATATTGTGGAAATACTTTAAACTTGACAAATCAATATAACTGACCTTGTTAAATGTTCTTGAAGTTGTGTGGGATCTGGTGGATAAAATTTGACTGCAAATTCAAATACCCAAGCTCCACCTACAAACAAACAAAAACATCCATTATTTGAATGATGAATGAACAAGAAAAGTCTATAGTAAAGGAATAATTTTATTACTAAGAGACTACATCTGAAATTGTGCCTATATAATTTAGCTAACCAAGCCATTATTACTGATAATATTAATCACATCCATAGCATATCGAAGCCACAGATCACCTCAACATAGCAATCTGATCTCAACACACAATTTGTAAAGCAGTTATTGAATAAGAAAGAGCCAATATACAGTAATGAAATATGAATATAAATCAACAATACTTACGTTTTTTCTGTTTTGAAATTTTCTTTTCCACATTTAACCAAAACTGAAAATTAGATTGTAAAGAGTTAAACCAGATGTCACCACTTCAATCATTATCAACATAGAGAGAGAGAAATGGGGTTTAACGTCCACTCGACACAAACTAGGTGATTTCAGAACTAACACATGGTTCAATTTCATTTCAATAATTCGCTTGCCGTTGGAGGAAATCGTAGGAAACCCACAAGGTTGGACAGGCGACCCTACTCCTTGTCACGTACAACTGAGGAATCGAAACCATGCCAGTTGACTCAATGACAGACCATCCCCTTCATTTACAACAAGCGATCGTGGTTTAACATTCACACATATTTTGAGATCAACATAAGGAACTTTTTTTCCTAAATGTGTTGTTTGATTTTTTGACAGACCCAGAGCTCATTGCATGACATCATTTATTTCCACATTTATACATGTAAATCAATGACATTTATTCACCAGTGGTAGTGTGTATCCAAGCAGCATTACAGAATTTTATGTCCAAAACTTTTAACCTTATCAAAGTAGTAAAGTCATTGTGCAGAATAGTAATTTGATGTTGCCTGTAGATTGCTTTCATATGAAATTATTAATATCTTGAATCAGAATACAGAGATAAGGGTATGTATTTCTGAATAATGAAACATATTGTGCCTACATGGAAAGAACACTAAAGAGTCAAATTATGCACACTGCTTATGTGTAAGCACATGGAACTTGTTAAAGTAAAATTAAAAGGACCAGATGGATCATTTATCAAAAACAAGATACTTTTACATTGTAATATAATATGCTTGGAATGTATCTTTGTCATGAGCTTCATGTACCTAGGGCTAAATATTATACATTACCAATAATAACTAGGTCAAACTAATATTGTAGGTAGGTACATGTACATGTATTGTATTTCTATACAGGCACCTGCCAATCAAATGCACCAACACATGGTTATTCTTATTTTTACAGAAGGGAATTTTGCATGGACAGCAGTGTTCTACCCTCTTTTATAATTATACAGACACTTTCCCTGTCAGTCTTGCAGGCATCATGCAAAACAAATACCCTGTAGACACCAGTCCAATGCCGCAAAAGTACAACTACCATGATTCGGGAAACCGGAGAAGGCCTACACACTAATCCTCAATTCTTTTATTATATCTAAGGACAATTTTTTTTATATTTACCAAGACGGCTCGGCATTAACAGTTGCCTGATTGGCTAGAGCAAAAAAAACTCATTTTTGAGGAAGTTATTATTTTCACGCCAAAGAATGAACAATCAACAGGATTCGAGAAACAGGTGTAAAAATTAATGGAAAATTTGCCAAGATAAAAATACCCTGTCAATTCGAGGACTTTCTTCACAAACAGATATAAAAATTATCGAATACATAATCAAAGTAGGCACTAGTAGTATTAATTTGGTTCCTAATCATAACGTTAACAGAACTTATATAACAGATTTGCAGGAAAGCGTTTCATTTATGATATATCAATGCAAGTATCGATGCGTAAATTTTGACAAGATACAGCACTATCAATTAGACATCCTAACAAATTCCCTGGTGAATTGTTTCAGGACAGGCATTGGCATACAAAGCAAATTTTATACAATTATACATTCATATAGCCTATTTTATTTTTGGGCAAGTTAATGCATTGAACTACTCAGGGATCAAAATTTCTGACGGCCATCATGGCAATTGCTGTCCTAAGCCCTAGAAATGGCTTTAAAATCGAGGGCCAAAAAGTGCTGACATAAATTTCGGAAAAACAATCAATAAAAATGACAGTGCATTGGAGGTAGAAATACTTTAAATTGGTGTCAATAACAGCCATATCTGAAGCCAAAATAAATGAAAATGTTCATGTGTGAGATGTGTTTTTTTCCGTAAAACTTGGATAGTCTAATAACCTCCCATTATACATGTATATTTTTTTAAATGAAATGAAATTGGGTTCAATGTCCTACTGTTTTGCTCCAAACTGGGCTAATGAAGATGGGCATACGCCATACAGTGTGCTATGAGGGTAATTTTGCCTGGACAGCGGTACTACGGCCTACTCTTATATCGAATTCCAACTGTCATGGGATCTTTTATGTGCACGCCAATGTGTACACGGGACCTCGGTTTTTCGTACCAACCGAATGACTAGACAGCTGTCCTTGTCAGGCACTCTGCCCTGCATCACTGACAAGGGGGGAACCATGAGGGAAAATCTGGATTAACTTTCTCGGCCAGGTCGAACACCCGACCTTCAGAGTAGCGAGCCAGCGTCTTACCCACTTAGCCACTGTGACCCCCACGACTGTTTCGTGGTATAGGCCTACTCCTCCTTCAGATGTCTTGTCAACAGTCTATACACAAGAGTTAAGTATGACAGTGCTTTAAATTAGAATTTTTCTACAATGGCACAAACAATCTGAAAATGCTGTATCTAACTGAGCTCACAAGACACCACAGCATTTCTTCATATTTAACACATTCATGTTGTTGTAATTGTCCATCACGGAACGTGCAAATTTTTATTCATTCATTCGTAGATAGACAAACAACTTGTACAATGATTTTCAGTGTCAATGAATCTGGTTCTAATTATGTTTTGTGGTACTGTCATACGCAGACTTCATACGTATCAAATTTACAGACTTTTGTTGGAGTATTATATAAAGACATTTAAATTAGTTTAAGATTTTCCCCTTCGATTTTAAAGTTATTTGTGTTGGTATCATTGATACCAAAATTGCTTAATAAAATTTCCCATGGCTGAGCCATAGCTTTCTTTAATAAGGACACTATTGTAGAAAGTGAGCATGTTTTTATGAAGTACTAAATTATAACGGTAAACACGATTTAAAACTAAATATTGCATCGCTGAATTATTGACCTAATTCCAAGTCCAACCTTCGCCCAATCACTGATATTGAAAAGTTATAAACTACATGTACATATGTATTTCATGTGTCATCTTTACTATTTATATAAAAGGGATAAATTTTTGAGTAGAAACCATCTACATGAGTACATGTAGTATGTCTAGTATATTACACTAACTAACAACAGCACAATTTAGGCTATTTTTCTTTTGCTGTAACAGTCTGTGTTTGCTCAAGCTTTTACCAAAGATTTGTCATATATTGCCATGGTTAATTTCAAGTACTGGCTGTACATGTATGATCGAGATTATGATCTATTAAATGTTGGTTTCAATATAAATCCCTAAATATGTCAGCACCGGTAGAATGCTTCATAGCTAACAGTAAGGCCTATACAACAATTCTCATATTTTCACTGATTTGAACCAACAGCTGATTCAACTGTATGGTTCCATTGCATTATTAAAGTTTATTCAAATTTTCAAGAGATTAAAAAAATGGCCTTTGATAATTTCAAAATTGAAAAAATGGATTGGTGTTGAACAAAATGGTCTTAGGAAGGTTTTGCCGCCTGAGACTATTTTTCGAGCGGCGATTTTGAGCCATGCGAATTTCCCAAAGTGAAAATTGTTGAAAAAGTTATTATGTCGAACTATGACCCATTTAGCACATCCATTAAACGATCCAGGCAATTCCTGTACTTTTACATTTGATAAGATATTACATAAAATTATACATGTTTTTTATTAATTTGAATGCCTGTTATGTTTATTGCCGTGAAAAAAACCTAAACAAACTGACCTTTATATGTGCAGAGTCCCTGTCATCTGTGTATGTTAATCCGAAATAATCCCTTTCTAACAAATCTAAATGATCACATACTTTTTCGAATAAAACTTGACCAACCGCACCTTTCTGAAAACAAAATAGATTGACTTATTATGCATCACATTTTTGACAGGATTCAATTGCTATTGGTGACATCATAACCTTTTTCTTACTTCAGTTTTAAAACATTATGTTTCAAATAATGTACCACTATAATAATCTCTGACAAATGTACCGGTGCCCATCAAAGCAGGTTAAATTTTTTTGAGTAGAATGAGATAAAGCAGAGTATATGGGACTCGCCTCTTTTAATTTATTAAGACAGGTGTTATTATGAATAGATCTAATATAATACAACATTGAGTAGACATTTTTTCACATTCTGACGATGTTTACATACATTACAAATATCAATTTTCATTTTGTTTACGGTGTGGGCTAGCTTTGGCACAGGGTTTTTGACATGAAAGGTAAAACCCTTTTTTCTTCAGTTGTATTTTAATCAACAATATGAATATGTTCAGTACTCACCGGAATAGCTACTTCAATACTTTCTCCATCTAACAATACTACAGTACATGTGACATTTTTTGAAGATCTGTTCTGTGCTTTTTTCGGAGGGGACTTTTTATCTTCTGTCATGTTTTTTGTTGGACTTTTGTTATTTTTCTGAAATTAAAATCATAAAATTATAATTTATCATTCCTAAAATTAAAATCTGAGCAAATTACATAAAGATCAATTTAAATGATATCAACACACTGTACAATGTATTCCTTTCCATTACAAACTTGCTAGAAAACTTTTAAAATGCATGAAGAAATTTATCTTTAAATTAGTAACACTAACCAGTTACCAGTACATATTATTAATTGCTGTATCTTTGTCTACCTACATACATAGTAAATGTATAATATGAATCTTGATTTTACTACTATGACCAATAGGCCTACTATTGATATAAACATAACACTAAAAACAGGGATTGTTCATTCAAGGAAATGATTGATTTGTCATCATGTACATATAGTACGTAATCCATTTATTCATAACACGGAAAGCTACACAAAGGCTATTTCTTATCATTTCATATGCTGTTCAATTAAGAGTCATCCTGCATCTACTCTTAATCAAGTTAATGAAATAATTTGAACTATGGGCTACAGACAGAGACACAGTAGTTAGGCCTACCGGATAATTCTAAATAATTTAATGTGATATGAGCTGAGAGTTTATAAAACCATATATATTGATCCTATTAGGGGAAAGTGGTCATACTACTCATACATAATCATTTTAGTTTTAGTTCTAATAATAAGGTGTCAAATAAAAAAATTGAAATTTGAAACAAAAAAGGGAGATAAGCAATAGTAATAAAGCTGAATTTTGGATACCACACCCACTTGTGTCAACTTGAGATAGTACTAGTGTAGTAAAAGGTAACTCTACGCAAACAAGTCAAACTTCGACAATCTCTTCAAATAAAAAATACATTTGGTATACAGAATGTTCTGTATCAATAAATAGATATTAGAATTCATAAAATTATTACAAATTATCAGATAACTGAATGGCTCACCGACAAACAGACCAATCCTAAATTAAACTGGTATGAAAATCATCATGTTGAGAAACTTAAGCCTTACGGTGTAAATTTCTGGGAGTTATAATACTACTTTAACTTTTGGTAGGACTTTCAAGGCCTTTTAAAATATCTTATGGATTAATACATTAATAAATTCTGCAAATACATATAATGGTCATGTTGTATTTGCAATTAAAACGTAGATTAAACAGCCAAATGAAGCTATTCCGGATACGGTGAAAACATGGCTGCCGCCTTAGTCGATTCAAAATGATTTGGGTCAGGACGCTTTGTAAAGCTATTTTTAGGACTGTCCCATTTACAAACACTTTTAACTACGGTGCAGTCAACACCAAATACAAAATTTGTAAACGCAAAGATTACGTACCTCCAACAAACTTTTTAGCAATTGTTTATGTGACAATCTTAATTACAATACTCCATAATAACGAAAGCAACCACACGAAATGGAAATGACATCACATCTACCTATCCGGTCCCGGCATTCCGCTAGAGGTCACCACGCAGTTATGAGGTCAAGGTGTGCAATTTGGTAAACAACGTGTCGATTGTAGCAAGCGGGCAGTAAAATAGTGGTCCTGTCCTCTAATAATATAAATTATTTGTGTCATTTCATGATACGATATAGCCTACACTGTACAGTAATAACAGAAGTCAACATAAGTAGCCTACCGTATAAGACAAACCGAAACCCTCGGAAGACACACACTTAAACAATGCGCGGAACGGATATTGCAAGCAATAGTACTAATACTAATAATAGTAGTCTCAGTGTCAAGAACATAAAGTGGACATGTTCTGATATAGAAAGCACTGGCCCCTTTTATTTTTATTTATAAGATGACAGGCAAATATACCTTCAGGTATGCAGAGTTTTATCAAGGCGGTGGCATAATCCGAGAGCGGTAAAAATACAGGGTGTAAAGTTTGCTTAATAAAGACTTTGCCATTTTTGGACTAAACAATGGTAATTTTTACTTTCAACATAATAGGCCTATTTTGATTATAAGTGGAAAGCTAAATAACTGTGAACTTAAAGGATCAAACCTTATTTAGCAATATACAAGAACAGTTAATTAAATCACACACTAAGTTAATTAAGACAAGCCTAGATTAATCCAATAAAAAATCAGAATTGAGACAAAAAGACCTATTAGTGGTTGTCACTAGCCTGTCAGTGCATGATCACATTTGAGTAAATTTCATTTTTGTTCAAATTTATTTTCTGAACAAGGTTATTTTGATAGCTTTTCTGCAGATCATTTATTGTAATGATAATATAATAGATTTTCCATAACACTACCAGGTTACTGATATCTGGTCATTTTCTGAACAAGGTAAGCTTTAAATATTTTTTGATTGATTTTTTATACATCATTTATTATCAGTAACAGTAAATTTTCCATTATGTTACTGGTATTGGTTTTAAAATTTGCATGACTTTAACAGACTTATTGAGATTAACTTAAATTGATATAAATACAAGCTAAGATACTCATGATATAGTCTAGATCAAACCATTTACTTAAATCTCAGTTTCTGGTATTTTTTATCATATGGTCCCAATCAGCCACACAGTGGTCTGAACCAGCTTGGACTTTTGGGGCACATTACCACTTTGCCATCCAACTTCCACATAATTTGAACTTTGTGATTTAAATAAATTCTGAATGTCATTGAAAAAAAGATATACCTGGATGACCTTTTAACCTAATGTTCTGGTAACCATCTGTTTATATATAATTTTAATGATACTAGTTAATTACTAGTTACTTTATCAACCAATTTATATTCAATATTTATATTCACTATATCAGCTATAATAGTTCAGCAGAATACTATCGCAATTCTAAGCAACATATGTCACACAGAGGGAGTTTACCATTTTAAGAACTTCTAATTGAATTATTTCTTGTCAAGGGGTTTAATATTTACACAACTGATCTTCAATGATAGTGAATTACAAGTTTTGTCAAGACAGTAAACTTTCGCTGGCCATGTGATGGATTACAATCATGATATCAGAGGAATTTTAACATCATCTGCATGGTAACAGTGCAGTTCTCTGACTACGCTTTCCAATTCCCATCAACAACATTATGGCAGAAATAGACATGTTTTGCAGAAATAAACAGTTTAATTCAAACAGACAGCAGAGATAACATTTCATATGTGAGGTATATGACCCAAATTACCAGGAAAATATCACTTCTTAAATGCAGCTGACAAAGGGAATTAGGGAGAGGCTGGGATGGGCCTCCAAGATCAGTAAACTGATTGTTGATAGTAATAGGTGGGGGACCCAACAGTTCCTTCATGTTAAATATAATCTACCATGATATTTTTCCTCAGCCACAGTTGATTTTCGAACGATCAGTGTATTATTGTAATATGCTATAATCTAATTGATCAGTCCTGTATTTGTGTAATAAACTATGTTAAATGTAATCTAAATTATCAGTCATGTATTGGTGTAATAAACTATGTTAAAAATAATATGTGATCGGTCTTGTATATGAAATCTACCATGATACGTTTCCTTAATGACAGTTGATTTTGGAATTATCAGTGTAGTATTAGTGTAATAAACTGTTAAATACAAACTGTGTCACAGAGTTTCAATTTTAAATATGGCCTATGCTTAACACAGCAAATTTGAAAATACAGTACAATTTATGTAAATATCTAAGAAGGCTCTTGTTGGTAGGTGGGGAACTCAACGGTTCATATACATGTATTTTTTTTAAAAAGGAAAAACATGTGTGACTCATTTGATTACCCTCTATAGCAGTGTGGGGGTGTAAGTTGGTGGGTTTATAGCTATGTCCACAATAGATCAAATAATTCCCTAGAAGGCTGGATTCAAACTTATAATTTAAGTGTCATGACAACTTAGCCATGTTATTTGTGGATCAGACTACAAGTCAAATGCTATTAAGCCCCATGTTTGAATCCGGTTTCAACGTAAACAATACAGGTACATGTATATAAATTGAAAAGTAAACTGCAAAAAGTTCTAAATAACAAAACTTTGTAAAGTGCTTGACAACTTATAAATAGAAAAGCAAACTGCAAAAAGTGCTTGACAACTTATAAATTGAAATGTTAAAGATACACTGTACATCAAGAGTTGATTATGGTCTGGATAATTTAACAAATGTCTAATTAATAATTTAGAAAACATTTCAGGCCTAAAGAAAGACCTGCAATAGACAGGTTTAGCTCTTGCATAATGTATGTTTAACTGCAAAAACTTATCAATACTGAGAATATATGTATATTAACTGGAATAAAGTAAAACTTTCTCAAGTGTTTGATTTATTTTTTGTCTTTCTTTAGTTAGAACAACTTTAATTTTAAAGCTGCTGATTATTATTTGAATGATTTGGAATCCCTTGACAACTACAATATTGTGGAAATTGAATCTTTAAAATTAATATCAGTCCAAACATGGTTCAATTCCGTTTAGTATTTACATGATAATTTGAACTTTAAACACATTTAGCTTCCTCTGAAGTCGATATATAAACAGGCCAATGAATAAAGGTTCGGAGATTATCTACTGTTGTTGATTTGCTTTCTTAATGAAATGGGGGGAGGGCTGAATGGTTAACACCTGCGCGTTGGATCAGATGATCTGTCATTGAGTTCAAGGTGTAGGGTCTGAGCCCTCCGGTTTCCTCCCACTGCTAAAAGACCCCTACATGCTAGCGAACTACTGAACCATTTGTTAGTCTCGAAATGACCTAATTTGTGTTGAGTGGATGTTAAACCCCATTTTTCTCTCTCTCTCTCTTAATTAAATGTTATATAATCAATGGGGTACATTTCAGCCTAAGTAGATTATGCCATGAAACATTAGTTGACCTGTATTGTTTTTATAAACTTATGCATTGTAAGATTGGCAAATTCAGACAAACGTTAGAGCACTATTAATCATATATGGTATGAGACTATGGTAAGTATCAATATATTTTATTTGAGGGATTCAAAATATTTAGAAAATCGCTATGTATCGAGTCATTCCATTTGACAAATGATCAAATTATACAGTGATCTAAAA